AGGCCATTGTAGTCCCCAGGAAAGTCTTTGTATCTATATCTTCTCCTCAGGTAATCTGTCATGTCTGGTTGAAGCTGTAACTCTCACTAAACCCATTCTGAGCTCTTAGAATAGCAGCTCCCATTTTGGAGTAGGGCTGTTGTCCTGGCCTACTCCATGGCCTCTAGACAAGGCACTGTGGCTCTTCCTACTGGGAAGAGATAAGTGTAGAACAGAAGAAATTATTTCTTGGACCATAGAAAGGTACAGAGGAAGCTAGGCCTGATGGTACATGCCTGTAGTTCCAGCACTCGGAAGGCAGAAACCGGTGAATCTCTGTGAGTTCAAGACCAACGTAATCTACATAGTGAAGTGCCAGGCCAGTCAGGGCTGCATAGTGAGCAGAAGGAAAGGAAAAAATGTCTAGAAGGAAAAAAAAGAAGGGAGGGAGGGAAGGGGGAAGTGGGGAAGGAAGGAAGAGGGACAGGAGCTACAACCAGGTCATCCCCAGGGAACTGTAGAGCAGTCGCACATGTTTAAAGTACTAAACATCCATGTCTTTTTCATGCTTCTGTGTTTCAGCTGTTCACCACCAGGTGTGCTCTTGGAAAAGGACTATGAGGTTTACCGTGATTACAGTGCCGATGGCCAACTCCTTCACTACAGGTAAAACTGCCACTGGACACACTTATCTGCTGGTTTTAGCTACTGAGAGTACCTGAGTAAGCTGTTGCTCCAGCTACCCCAGCCTAGCCTGGTTTATCAGGAAACATTAGGAACACTAGGAGAGGGTGTGAAGGCCACCAGAACCTGGAGTGTGTACAGAGGCCGCTCAGAACAGCCCTTTACTCACTGGGGATTTCATCATGGAAGAACTTTTGTGCTGCCTTCAGCCTCCAGCAGGAGATTAAGGTCTAGGGGAGCCTTGGTATGTGTTCTGCCCCTGGGCAATACTATCCACATATATCAGAGCACTTACCAGGCTGCTGGGCCCCCGGTCACCTGACAGAAATATAAAGGGTCCCTCAGAACCTAGGTGCCTTCACTTTGGTTGGGCAGGGCCATCTTTTAATATCTATAATCTTTCTTGGTGACTGGTTTGCTGTGGGAGATATAGGGCAGGATATTACCTCTGAGAGTAGCCAGGGGTCCATACCATGGACCACCCAGGAACAGCATTAGTGCTAGGGAAAGGGTAGAAAGACCTGAGAGGTTTTGGCAGTTTGCCTAACCAGTAGGGGTTGTTTCCTAAGTGGAGAAGGATATAGAAGGGAATCAGAGTCTACCCTGGTCCCCAATTGTGGCTATGTAACTACAGGTGTATTCCAGCTCTCTGGGATTCATTTTCTCATCAGCAAGATGAGTCTGGTTACTGGTTTGGCAGCCTACTGTGAGCTAAGCATGTTCATGGTAGAAGCCCATTCCCATGATGACAAATAAGATCTCAGCTCTGGCCAGGAGGCTTGGAGTTCCCTGTGATCCCAGCAGCACTGTAGTAGACCAAGGAGGTATACTCTTTATAGTAGATGTGCCCATCTAGCCTTTGGTTGGCAAGCACTGCCACAACCCTGCCAACCATGGGGAGACCATTATATCTCAAAATCAAGGGCCTGCATCACTGATAACATGCCCATCACCATCTGCAGATAGAACCTGTGGAACTTTTAGGGAAGCAGGTACCCCTTATAGCCACAAATCCCAGCAAGGGTAAAGAGGCCCTCTGGGCCTTTCTGGACATCTCAGGAATGGATGGCAGGCGGTAGAGTGAGCTCACTTCCAGGATCCCTCCACCCACCACTCTGCATGCTAGGAGTTCAGCTACCTTCAACCCCATGGAGACATACCCAGCCATACTAGCTGATGTGACTAGCCTCTGAGACCTGCGGGCTGTCCTTGAAGTTCCTAGACTCCTTGCCTTGTGGTAGCTACTTTTCCTGTAGCCATTGCCCATGTTGTGCTTTTTGTCCCCTTTGACAACTCACTTCCTTTTACCTGCTGTCAGTGCTGCAATTGGAGCTCTCTCTTAGACCCCAGTACAATTCACTGCCAACTGGACCTGGCCAGTGAAGGGCAAGCAGCCACTTCTGTTGGTTTGGTTTTGAAGGGTTTTTTGTTTTGAAGGTATCTGGGGTCGGGGAGGGTGTTGTGTGTTTCTTTGTTGAGACAGGGTGTCACTATGTAGCCCCAGCTGCCTGGAACTTGCTATGTAGACCAGGTTGGCCTTGAATTCACAGAGATCTACCTGCCTCTGCCTCCCAAGTGCTGGGATTAAAGATGTGTATGTGCCACCACTAGCCTTGAAACTTCACTTCTAAATAGAGTACAAGGAAGACCCTCTGGGCTCAGCTACATTCCACTGGCCATCCCTGAATGATGTTGCCTGTAGCAGCCCAGAGGATGCCCTTGCCCTCAGCAGGGGAGATGGTATCATCTGATCAACTAGTTACCTGTTAGGAGCTACTACATGCCAGGCAGCTCAGCCATCCCCTTCTGCCCCCTTATTTTGTTGCTTTTCCATCTGTTCTTCTCAGATAACATGACAGACCAAAGGAATGATTCCACCCAGCTTTAACTTGGTAAACTTGTAAGTTTATTTGGCTTTCTTACAGGAGTATGAGTGACCTAGAACATCTGTGTCCTAGTTTGTTTCTCCATTGCTGTGACAAAACAATCTGACCAATACCAACTTGGGGAGGAAAGGGTTTATTTATCTTATATATCCTGGGTCACAGTTCATCAGGGAGCCCAAGGTAGGAACTCAGGGCAGGAACCTGGAGGCAGGAGCTGGAGCACAGGGAAGGAATGCTGCTTACTAGCTTGCTCCCCTGGCCCCTGCTCAGCCTGCTCTCTTATCCAAAATAGGCCCACCTGCCCAGGGGTGACACTACCCACGGTGGGCTGGGCCCTCCCACATCACTCAACAATCAAGAAAATACCCCACAGACATGGCCACAGGCCAGTTCAATGGAGGCAATTCCCTAGTTGAGGCTCCCTCAACCCAAGTATGTCAAGTTGACACTAAAGCTATCCAGCACAATCTGCATCACTACAAAGTCCTACCCCATCATGGATGATGATCTCATGGAAGCAGCATCATGGAGTCCCACTTTTAGTTAGCCTCCCTCTTCCTGTATTTTCTACAGGATCCTTTGGGGCAAGATGGGCAAACAGAAGAGAGCAATGAGAGGAATGGCTGGAATCCCAGCTTCCCTCTTCTATTAGGAAGTGTTAGTTCTATTGTGAACATGAGAGCTTATCTTAAAAAAAAAAAGGGGGGGGAAAAGAAAAAAAGGCCCACCTGTCACTGTATTGTTTCTACTTATTTCATTGCCATGGCTACCAGACCAGGTTATCTTTGCTCCAAGATGGTGATGGGGTAAATCATGCATGCCATCAGGGAAAAGCCATATTACAAAACCCATCCTGTCATTTTTGCCCCTATTACTGAGACCTTGGGATAGTGACATCTGAAAAAGAAGTGGGTTCATTAGAGGATACCAGTGCCTGCAAGAGCACCAGAGCAAGAGGCTTGCTTCAGTGGGGTCTGTGTCTGGGATGATGAGTACTTCTTAGAAAGGATAGAAGTAGTCAGATCCCATCTGGAGATGTCCTTGATCCCCTCTGCTGAGACTGCAGCCTGTGTACTATGAGAGAAGTCTCAGGATTTTCATACCTGCTCACATGCAAGCCTGCATGTGTTTCTGCAAACCCTGTCCTTATCCGATCACCTTTGCTCCAAGACTGCCCAGTCTGTTATACTGCCTGGTGCCTCAGTCTTTCATGTTGCTAGTCTTTCTAATCTTCATTCTGGGACCATCTTCGGGTTTCTAGTGAAGAAGGGAAGTTCTAGGAGGGGAACACATGGAGGGAGGAATAGCATATCTGAGAAAGATCTAGAAGAGAAAGTAGAATGTGGGGACATTGAGATGGTTGTAGCACAAGAAGCTCAGCCTTTGGAGTGGGAAAAGCTGGGTTGGTGGGTTTTGGGTTTTTTTTTGTTTTGATTTGGGTTTTTTGTTTTGTTTTGCTTTTTTGTGTTTTTTTGGTCTTTTTTGAGACAGGGTCTCCCTGTAGCCCCAGCTTTCCAGAAACTCACTACTGGCCAGGCTGGCCTTGAACTCACAGAGATCCACCTGCCTCTGCCTCCCAGAGAGAGTTGGGAGTAAAGGCGTGCGCCACCAGCTTGAAAAGCTGTTATTTTAGACAGGACTGGAGTAGAAGTAGCCAAAGCACTGAGGTTTGCAAAAAAGGAACCTACCCAAGAGCAGGCCTAGCCTCCTTGAGGGCCATAGGCAGAGCTGAGCCCCTAACAGAGAAGTTCAAGTGTCCCTAGAGGTCTGTGCGAGGACATGGTGGGACCCCTGGTGACCAGTCCAGGCTGGAGGCTAAGAGGCCTAGACAATGGTGGTATTTTCAGACATGCCGTTTCTTCCAATCTGTGAAAGTACAACTGTATTCACAGTTACAAGCTTTGATGCTAGATTTTGACCCTGGAACCACATGAGGTCTAGGGGCTACAGGGTGCTGTAGTCATCACTGCTGCCTACACATTCTGTGTGTCATACTACAGTATCCATTTCCCTGAAGGTGATCCTAGAAAAGCATTTCAAGCTTTGATTTTGTGTCTGGTTTTGATTTTGTATGAGTCTTTCTATTCTGTCTCAGAAATTGACCCTTGGGAAAATAACCTACAAGGCCCTGAGGAGAATGAGGCTGCAAGCTATGGGCGCGCGGGGGGTTTCGTGGAGCGCCAGCTGCTGGCTGGCGCCTGTCTCTCAGCGCCACTGGGGCGGGTCCTGCGCGCCGCGTTGCTGAGGGTCTCCGCGGCTACAGGATGCTGGCGACTCTACTAGTCACTGCGCTTCCAGGCGTGTTCCGTTCCAAGCTACCTGGCACTCCCTCTAGGCTCGAGATCCGTCAGCCGCCGGGTCACAAGGGGAGGTGTGGGAACAGCGAAAGCAGGGTCTTGCGAGTCGTTGTTTACGAAGGGACAGCCCCCTCCGGAGAGACTGAATCGTAGGCAGTAAGACACAGAATTCAGCTCAGTCAGGTACAGCTCCTTTATTCAGTGACTTAGCTCAACTCCAGGTCTTAGTGATTCAGCTCCCATTAATTAAGGGGAAACCAGGATATTTATAGTGTGGGGGTAGTAGTAAAAGCCTTAGTTGATAGGTGCTTTGTAGGATGCCCCATTTACATGTGGTGGTGGGCTTCCACCAGGCTGCCAGACATTGCCTGATTATCACATAAGAAAATCTGGCAGTTCCTATGCCAGAGGCCATGTATCTGTGACGGCTACTTCAAAGATGAGTCAGGAAGAGAGTAGGGAGGTGCCCCGCTGAGAAAGGGAGTCCTTCCATTCACACCGAGCCGGCATGCAGCTATCCGGACATGGAAAGACTACAACCCAAAACAGCAGGAGTCCCCAACAGCAACCCTGCCAGGGTTTCTCTTTCTTTACATCAAACCACCTTGGGTGATACATGGTTTCATGTTATGTAGTCAGGGTTCCTCAACCCAGGTACCTGCACTCTATAGGGTTATTTGCTGGAGCTAGGCAAGAGGTAAGGAGAAGGATGTAAGGGGAGTAAGGCCAAGATCCACCTGCACCAAAGAGGTGGAGATGAGCTGAACTCAGGTGGAGGCTGTGAATACTCTGTGTAGACCAGGAGGAAACCCAGCAGGAGCTGTGTACAGCAGAGCCACTGAGAATGCTCAGCAGCCTCAGAGAGGTGGGAGCAAGCTCGGGAGGTGGATGACAGTTAGCTGGGCCTGGCCATGAAGTGAGCCCCAAGGCCAAGAAGGATAGAAGTAGGGTTGAGGAATGTAGGGTATGGGGCTGCAAACAGGCCTGGCTGGGCTCAGCCTAGGAGTGCTCCAGGAGTGATCATGAAGCTGTGGAACTGGATGAGACCTGAGGACAGGAGTGAAGTATGTGAAACTCAAATGTGATATATTCTGCATGTCCAAGAGATGCCTCTCTCTTCTAATGGCAACCAGGAACAATCAAATAGGCTGATATGTTGGAGTAGTATTCCTCCTAGCTTAAATGGTTATGCTGTGAATGATTCCTCCTCATTTTCCTTCCTAAAGAGAGGAAGGCAATGCACCCAACAATTATGGCATTCATTGAGGAGAAAAAGCAGAAGCAGTGCCTCCAGCAGCTCATACACTAGATGACTAAGCTTTATGGGGACAAGTGCAGGGACAAGCCTGGGCCAAAACAAAACAGTCAAAATGAGGGCTACTTTGCGTAAGGTGCCAAGCACTTCATTGATACACATCAGTTCTTTTTGAATCAACTGAAGCAAACCCAGAATTCAAGTCAGTCTTCTCAGAAAGCCTTTCTGACTGCACTACCTCCTTGTAGAATGAAAGTATTTCAAGAAATGCTGTTGATGAAGTAATTGAAGAAGTGACTGATACCCACTTTTTTCACTCTTGGAACATCTTGGCATGTGAGAGTAAACAAAGACAAACATTTTTTAGATGGGAGTGAGGGCCATATGTATCTGGTTGTTTTTTGTTAATCTTATGAAAGTGATTATCAAATGAATGGATATTATTATTATATATGGAACTATGCTCTCTCAAGGTCCTTAACCGCTTCATATAAATTTGATAATAGAAAGCTGGGCTCAGTGGCAAATGCTTATAATCCCAGCACTTGAGTGGTGGAAGCAGGAGGTCAGGAATTCTATGTCATCTCAGATACATAGCAAGTTTGGGGCCAGCCTGAGCTTCATGAGACCCTGTCTCAAAAAAGAATTGGGGCGGAAGAGATGGCTCAGCAGTTAAGAGCACCAGAGGACTCAGGTTCGAATCCCAGTCTCCACATGACAGCTTACAACCATCTATAATTCCAGTTCTAGGGGATCCAACGTCTTCTGACCTTTGCAGGCATTACATAACACGGGTGCACTTATATATGTGCAGGCAATATATTCATACACATAAAATAAAAATAATAATGTTTTTTGAGAAAAATTTTGACAGAAAAGAAGATGATGGAGAAAAAAAATAGCCTGGCACTTCACTGTGTGGACTTCCTTACCCAGTATTTGACCCTCAGTAAGTACAGGGCACTTCACTGCGTGGACTTCCTTACCCAGTATTTGACCCTCAGTAAGTACAGGGCACTTCACTGTGTGGACTTCCTTACCCAGTATTTGACCCTCAGTAAGTACAGGGCACTTCACTGTGTGGACTTTAAGTACAGGGCACTTCACTGTGTGGACTTCTTACCCAGTATTTGGCCCTCAGTAAGTACAGGGCACTTCAGCTTTCTAGATTGAATCTGACCATGAAAATAATTCTCATTACCAGACTGCCACAGAAAGATGTTAATCTATCCTGGACATAAAGATGTGCCTTAAGAAATTATGAAGATTTAGGCCAGTCAAAAGCTAACAGCAGTTACAGGTGTAGAGGTACATGTCTGATACTATAGATTTTATTTGCCATATTTGGGGTGGAGGCATTGCTGGGGAGCACACCCAGGGCTATAGACATGCTAGAGAAGAACTTTTCACTGAGCAACATCTCCAGACCTCCTGCATTTGGGGAGTTTTGTTTGTTTTGTCTTTTTGTTTTGGAGTTGTGTGTGTGTGTGTCTGTGTGTGTGTCTGTGTATGTATCTCTGTGTGTGTGTGTGTGTGAGAGAGAGAGAGAGACAGAGAGACAGAGAGAGAGAGAGGGTTTAATAGATTAAGCCGAGTGTGGTGGTATACACCTCTAATCTCAGCACTTGAGAGGCAAAAGACAGGAGCCTCTCAATTCAAGGCCAGCCTGAGCCATATTAGTAAAAAGCAGATCAGAAGAAGATCTCTTTAGTATGGAAAGATGAGAAATACAGACTATAGCATGAAAAACTCTATGGTGCTCAGTGAATTGTAATTGGAGTACCAGAAGAGAAAAATAAATGGAATAAACATTTGAAATTACAATGGCCAGTTTTAAAAAACATCAGAGAAGATATCTAAGCACAGATTCAAAAAGTGCTGAGAATCCCAGTCAAAGGGTCACAGCTAAGCAGCCTGGGGAAGAGCAGAAATGGGTGTCTCCTTAGGACACTGTCCTAAGCTCAGCTTCTTGGTACCTCAGGCATAGCCATAAGATATAGGGGCTGTTCAAAGAACAGAGCTAATGGAACCTTCATTATTCCACCAAAGTTGACCCCATGTTGGCAAATCCTTTGGACTATGATTTCTTATTCCTATTTTACCCCCTTAAACTTCATTGTATATATATTTTTTATGTAACCTGCTTCAAATTATTTCTGGGAAAATGTGTTAAAAATTGCCTCTCTTTGGGATTTAAAAAAAAAAAAGGTATAGGGCCCTTTCTAACCTCCCGCCTGTGGTACAGGCCATATGTGGACATTATATCCAAGTGTCTCCAGGGCAGTGCTGCTCCTGTTGTCAGTGAGAAAAAAAAGGAAGTTCAGAAGATGCTGAATGGCCAGCATGAGCTCACTGGTAAGGGACCAGGATTCAGACAGTATGACACTCAGGGCTGTGGGTGCCCTTGCTGTGATGTAGGGTATTAATAGGCAACTGGATCAGAAACAGTTATGTTCTCTGTCCAGATGAAAGTGGTGACTAGGAAATGAGAGTAAGGCAAAGCTCATGGAAACTTTTTTTTTTAATATTTTATTTATTGTTTTTATTTTATGTGTATGAGTGTATTGCCTGCCGTGTGAGTGCACCCATGTCATGCAATAACTCAGAGGTCAGAAGAGGGCTTTGGATTCCCCTGGAACTGGAGTTAAGGATGGTTCGTAGCCACCATGTGGGTGCTGGGAATCGAACCCAGGTCCTCTGCAAGAGCAGTCAGTGCTCTTAACCGCTGAGCCATCTCTCCAGCCCCACTCATGGGAACCTTTAATTGAAAACTGGGCCCTGAGCCAGGCGTGGTGACACATGCTTTTAATCCCAGCACTTGGGAGGCAGAGGCAGGCGGATCTTTGTGAGTTCGAGGCCAGCCTGGTCTACCTAGCGAGTTCCAGGACAGCTGGGGCTACAGGGAGACCCTGTCTCAAAAAGACAAAAAAAAGAAAACTGGGCCCTGAGATGCTCATGTGATATAGTGCTGGGCTCTCCTGGATGCCTGAGCCATTGATTGTCAGGTCTAGAAATAGCTCTGTGCTTGGTGCTAGGCTGGGCAAAAAAACAGCTGAGATGGACAAGCTCTAAGAAGGGCATAAGATCATTCACAGGGACCTAAGGATAAGGAAGATGCTGAGAAACTCAGGCTCAGTGGTAGGGCTAAACTTAACCTCTGCCAGTAACTGGTTGTCCACTCCTCACACAGGACCTCCTCGCTGCGATGGAACTCTGGTAACAAGGAACGCATGCTCATCAAGGTTGCTGACCGTGAACCCAGCTTCCTCACCCCACAAGGCAATGGCTACCCCTCAGACAGCCAGGCTGGGGGTCATCCCCGCAGACCATCTGGCAGCCAGCATTCACCTAACCTGCAGACCTTTGCCCCTGATTCTGATGGCACTGTCTTCTTTCCAGAGAGGCGGCCCTCACCCTTCCTAAGGAGGGCTGAGCTCTCTGGGAACTGTTCACCACTGCTGGTGCAACCCCGAAAGCCCTCTGGTGACTCACAGCCCTCTTCCCCACGCTATGGATATGAGCCCCCACTCTATGAGGAGCCCCCTGTGGAGTACCAGGCCCCCATTTATGATGAGCCCCCCATGGATGTGCAGTTTGAATCCAGCAGCCCCTACCAGACTGGCTCACCACAGAGGTCACCAGGCCGCAAGCCCCGCCCATTCCTACAGGCTACCAAACAGACCCCAACATCACCCTGCCAACAGCTGGTGCGCACCAAGCAGAAGTGTCCAGAGCGCTTCCTGAGCCTGGAATACAGTCCAGTGGGCAAGGAGTATGTACGGCAGCTGGTATATGTGGAGCAAGTAGGCTCCAGCCCCAAGCTTAGAGCTGGGCCCAGGCACAAGTATGCACCCAACCCAGGTGGTGGCTCCTACTCCCTGCAGCCCAGCCCCTGCCTACTGAGGGACCAGCGTTTAGGAGTCAGGTCTGGAGATTATAGCACCATGGAAGGATCAGAGCCACGCCCAGGCCAGCCACCCACACCCCTGCCCCAAGCCCAGGAGGATGCCATGTCTTGGTCTAGCCAACAGGACACCATGTCCTCTGCAGGCTATTCCCCAGGTACACGTAAGAGGAAGAGCAGAAAGCCTTCTCTGTGCCAAGTTCCTAGTACTTCATCCACCGATGGCCCTGGGGACCTGCTAGGTGAGCAGCCCCTGACTGAGGAGCATTCTTCATGCAGGTCCAGCCTTACTCCAATAAAGGCTGAGGCAGACATGGTACGGGGCACAGCTGAGCCCTTCCTGGCACAGGCCCGGTTGGCCTGGGAGGCACAGCAGGCCCACTTCCACATGAAGCAGAGGGGTAGCTGGGACTCTCAGCAAGATGGCTCTGGGTATGAGAGTGATGGTGCTGTGCCACTGCCCATGCCTGGACCTGTGGTACGCGCCTTCAGTGAAGATGAAGCACTGGCACAGCAGGACAGTAAACACTGGAAGCGGAGCACCTTTGAAAAGCTTGGCTTCCCCCAAATCCTGCTGGAGAAGAGCATCTCTGTGCAGACCAACCTGGCCTCACCAGAGCCTTACCTCCACCCCTCACAGGTGAGAGGCATGGGGTAGGGTGGATGGGATTTCTGGGACCACCAGGCACCAGACAGAACTCAGAGCAGAATGGGGCTTGAGTATGCCTGTCATCCATGACACAAGTACAACACTTAGAAGTTTTTAGAGCCTGGGTCTCAGACCCCATATACCAGTTTTCAGTTAAGGCACAGTTATGGGACACCACATCAGTGCTTCCAGTGAGGCTCTACAGATCTGTAATGTGGGCACCCTCATATCTGAGGGATTGTGTCCTGACTCCAGGCCACAGACACAAAGAAGAGGCCGCATCAGCTAGGCTTGCAGGTGCGTCCCTGAGGAGCATAACAGAAGGGGCATCAGGTATTCTGTAGTGGCTCTCATAGCTGTCACCAAGTGAGGCTCCCTTGGGTAGGAAGAACTGTTGGTAAGGCAGTGGCCTGTGTAATTCCCAGATGTTACAACCAGAGCTAGAGCCAGAGCCAAGGCCTGGCCTGACCTCCATGTAGTGCCAAGAACATGTCATTCAGTCCCTACAGATCATGCATGCACTTTTGACCAATAGCTTGTTGCTGAAATATCTATACCCACAGGTCTTCCTTCTAGAGGACCATCAAGTCCCAAGATACTGGCCCTGATATCCCCACTCTTATTTCCTCGACCCACCATCTATGCTGGTTTGCTGAAGCCCAGGAAGATAACATGGAGGGTAGCCTGAACCTGCCTAGTGGCACCAGAACTAGGGAAGGATGTAATGACAGCCCAGAGGCTTCTTAGAGGTCGTGTGGCAGGTTTATCTCTACCCTTCTTGGGAAGGCTTCAATGAACCCTGGACAGTAGGTGTCCTGGGTCCCTACATGGCTTCAGAGACCCTCCACAGACTGAAGAGCTTCCAGTCAATGTTTCTGTTCACTGCTTGTAAAGGTAGAAGGACAACAGGATATATAGTGGAGGCAGTCTTGGAAAACAGAATAAGTAGGCACAAAGCCACCCTTAACAGGAGTGGGGATCTGATTATACAGAGAGAGAGGGGCCTACAGGGTCAAGCCCCAGGCAAGTGCCGGAAGGGCCTCTCCAGGTCGCCCAGCCTTGACTAGCACTGGGGTCTCAGGGTCATGGCAAGGTGGGAATTGGGGCTGGTAGGTAGCTCATCGGTAGGAGGCAGGATGCCATTATTCCTTAGAGGTATCAGAATGAGTTGGTGTCCCCACCTGGGATGCCCTGAACCACCTCTACCCACAGGTCGTTGGGTAACTGAGAGCAAGGAGCAAGGCTATTACTTGGCCACTCTACACTCAGCTTCCTAGTCATATCCTCTGAGCAAGCTGAGCCCACCTGGCTGATTCACACCTCTTAGGGCTATAGTGGGTACCTACTCAGCCTACCCACTGATGGCCCAGTCCCATTTGTCCTTCCCAGTCTGAGGACCTTGGTGCCTGCGCCCAGTTTGAGAACAGCCGGCAGAACCGCAGTGCCATGCCCAGCTCTAGCTGTGTCTTCCCTACCTTCACACTGCGCAAGCCCTCCTCGGAGACGGACATCGAGAATTGGGCCTCTAAGCACTTCAACAAGCACACCCAGGGCCTCTTCCGGCGGAAAGTGTCTATAGCCAATATGCTGGCTTGGAGCAGCGAGTCCATCAAGAAGCCCATGATTGTGACCAGTGACCGGCATGTGAAGAAGGAGGCCTGTGAGATCTTCAAGCTAATCCAGATGTACATGGGTGACAGGCGGGCCAAGGCAGACCCACTGCATGTGGCCCTGGAGATAGCCACCAAAGGCTGGAGTGCACAGGGCCTAAGGGACGAACTCTACATCCAGCTGTGTCGGCAAACGACAGAGAACTTCCGCCTAGAGAGCCTGGCCCGTGGCTGGGAACTCATGGCCATCTGCCTGGCCTTCTTCCCACCTACCCCCAAGTTCCACTCCTACCTAGAAGGATATATTTACCGGCATATGGACCCCGTTAATGACACCAAAGGTAAGGCCCAGCATGGGGAACCCTCAGCACCCCAGCTCTGTTGTTGCTGAGAGAAGGGCCATGGAGAGAGCTCCTAGCCATGTTGGACAACACTAGCAAGTTCCCCAGTAGCTATATAGTAGGGATATCTCCAAGAAGACACAAACCCCTGAAAGACCTCAAACCCTAGTTTCCTCTGGAATGTGGGCATCCTTGGGGAACTTTATCTGAACTCTGAAGAGCCCAGGCAGGCCTGGCAGAAATAAGGATACATGGACTTGTGTCTTAGCCAAGTGGCTTCCACTCTGCTCTAAGCCCCCCATGGCTAGGGGCAGGCATTGTCAAAGGCCTGAGCAAAGTTTAATGTGGTGACCACAGTATGCTGTGGTTATCACATACAAGTCTAAGAGTTCATCCAGCTACTCAGCATTGTGAGCTGAGCTGCCTTGAGGGTTCAGAAGGTGAGGCTAAAGTACAAAGCCCCCAGAGATGATATGCCCAGTCTGTAAGCTCTCAGGTCATAGTCCTGTCAGGTAGGCAACCAGTCTGAGCCCTGGGCTAACCATAGTAGGTACAGGGCAGAACCATAAGCAGGCCGTCCTCCACCCCAATGGTTGTAAGCACCTATAGGACACAGCCACAGAACTGATGTCTAGATGTACACCCTCATGCTCAGACACTCACATAAAAGCCAGATCACATATGCCGTGCATTGCTCCTTGGGAGGGAAAGAATTTATCCTCGGCTGTTCCTTTATAGAAGCTGAGGTCCTAGTCAGGGCCTGTAGGCCTTATCCCCAGCAGATGTGGAGAAATCAGTTCTGCTCTGGGGTCATTGTATACACATAAGGCAGGGGTGGTTCCTAGAGGAAGTATGTCAAGCATAGGTACCATTCAGTAGACCGGCCAGTTTTGGGTAAAACTTCAGAAACCATGTAGTTTCTGTCCCAAGTATGTTCTTTTCAACACAAGTATGACAGCTGCAGAACCTGGCACATGGCCCATGTTCCATACATGATCCGAAGACCAGAGCCATGTTCCAAGTAGACTGGGCCTGGTCCTACAGGCTGAATTGGGAACTCAAGAACCCCAGTTTCTCATTCTCTTAGGCTTTCCTAGGAGTAGAAGGAAGGAGTCCTGGGAACTGTGTTCCTATTGGCTTTATAAATCACTTCCTTGGCCTCTTCTATGGGGCCTTCAAATGTATTTGTGCTGTAGGTTGTGAAAATTTGTCTCTACTGCTCATCAAGGCACCAAGGCTCAGAGTAGGCACCACAAGCATATACTTCAGTGAGCAATGGAGAGGAACTGGGAAATGATCAGAGGCCTGAGGATCCAGCCCAGCCTAGGTCAATGTGCCAGCAAGTGTGCAGCTGTAGGGCCTCCTATGATGCTGCCGTTCACACAGAAATGTATGTGCTTTTCTCCCAGTGTATTAGACCTATAGTGCCCTAGCTTGCACAGAAGGAGGAAGTGGATTTAGTCTGGGGGCAGTAACTTGACAGCATACCACTTACAGCCCATGAGGTCTTACCTCATGGAGGAATGAGACTCTGTGGCTTGCATCCAGCCTGTAGAGTCTGGGCTGTGCTCACAATCGGTACCCTGGGTTGCCTCAAGTTTGCCTGAGGCTTAGCCTCAGCATTTAGTGTTCTTGCAGAGGACCTGGCTCAGAGAACCCGGCTTCACTCTCTAGCACCCACATGGTAGCTCATAACCACCTGTAACTCCAGTTCAAGGCCTGCATCAGGTCTGTATGTGGTGCTCACAAAGTCACAGAGGTGCACACATATACACATAAAATTAAAAATATCTCTCTCTTTTTTTAAAAAAGCAAGAGGGCTGGGTGTGGTGGCATATGCCTTTAATCCCAGCAGAGGCAGGTGGATATCTGGTCTACATAGTGAGTTCCAGGCTAGCTGGGGCTACAGAGAGTCCCTATCATCTAAAAAAAAAAAAAAACGGGGGCAGGGGGCTATCCAGGCCAGGCATAGTGGCACACACCTTTAATCCCAGAGGTAGGTTGAGCCTGCCTGGTCTGCATAGCAAGTTCCAGGCCAGTCAGGACTACATAATGAGACCCTGTCTCAGAAAACCAAAGATGGGAGGTTAGGTAGGAATAGTGGTGCACATCTATAATGTCAGCACTCAGAAAGCAGAGGCAGGATGATTGCAACAATTCTAAGACTGCCTGATTTATATTGGGAGTTCCAAGCCAGCCAGAGTTACATAGTGAAACCTTGTCTCAAAAAACTGAGGTCATAAGTGATATGGCATGGGTCCTGACTGCTGGTCAGGAAGACAGGCCTTATCAACCTAGGAAGATGCAACCTCTGCTCTAGAAGACCAGCTGGCCTGATGTGTAGCACTTAGAAAATGGATACTGCAACCAAGAGGTAGGGAGCCTATCCAGGACATGATAAGGAACAGCATGGAGCCTGCTCCTATGCTTGGCACATCGCGCTCAACTGCCTGCCCTAGTTTGCAGTTTTTTGATTCATCTACCAGTATCTATGTGACTTCTGCTGTGTGTTTACTACCCTAGGACCAAGGCACTCTAAAGTGACCCTACCTTAGCTTTATATCTTACATGGTAGTACTCTGATGCTAGGCATCATCAGTCTCTCAACTGTCCCCAGGATCCCTACAAATAAGTGAGACTATACATTGAGTGGCACTGGATACAAGTTGCTTGGAGGAACACTTCTATAGAAACCCCTTGGAAAGCAACTTCATGTCTTTATCAAGACTTCCAGTATCCAATTAAAGATAGTGAAGAGCCATGTATGATGTTCATGCTATAATTCCAGCACTAGGAAGGCTGAGACAAGAGAATCACAAGTTTCAGGCCAACCTAGGCTATACAGTAGGACACAAATACACATAAATTTTTAATATCAATCTTTAAAGTTGATCTTTTTAAAAAATTTAAAAGATAGCAGGTTGAACACCTGCATTTCCTTCCATTCTGCCTTAGACTCTAAGAAAACAATGGAGTTTTTAAAAAGCAAAAGCCCCCAGGGCTGGAGAGATGACTCAGCAGTTAAGAGCACTGGCTGCTCTTGCAGAGGACCTGGGTTTGACTCCCAGCACCCACATGGCAGCTAACAACCATCCATAACTTCCAGCTCCAGGGGATCCAACACCCTCTTCTGATTTCCTCAGGCATTGCACAACACAGGTGTACTTACGTTCAGGCTATACACTCATACACATAAAATAAAAAACTATATTTTAAAATATATAAATAAATAAATAAAAGCCCGACAAAGAAAATGGTATGGTTATTACTCAAATAGCTAGAAATAGAATTGCCTTGTGTCAGCAGTTCTACCTGTGGGTCTATACCCAAAATAATCAACTACAATGATGTCTGCACACTGTCTACAGCAGCATATTCACAGTAGCCAGAGTAGAAACATATCAAAGTGTTCACTGATATGTGAATAGATAAACAAAGCATAGTGTATACATATGATGAGAAATTCAGCCATTAAAAGAAAATTCTGTTGACACATGCTTTATAATGGATGAACCTTGAAGACATCGTGCTACATGGATGAAGCCATTAGGAAGTAGATAAACCCCCCCCCCAAATAAATTTAAAAATCAGATGCAAGCCCATTCAAAAAGAGACAAAATAGAGCAAGAAGAGGAGGAAGAAACTGTTATATTTTGGGAGGCTGAGGCAGGAGATCTTGAGTTTGAGGCTATCCTGGGCTACATCATGAGTTCCAGACCAGCCAGGGCTGCAGAGCAAGACCCTATCTCAAAAAGGAAAAAAATGTGTGGTTTACATGAAGTAAATAACGATCTCTGAACAGGACAGAAGTCCCAGAAACAAATCCACTCAGTAACATAAGAGAAAAATCTTTGGCTTCCTAAATTAGTCAATGACTTTTTGTAATACCAAAAACACTATTGAAAAATTGAACTATTGAACTATCAGAATTAAATCTCCAACAAAATATAGATGTGGGTATATGTAAGGGTTAATGGACATATACTTGCTTGCTCTGCCTGCTGAAAAGCCCTTAGAAGTAAGAATACCCCAGTAGCAGCAAGCACGCCTGCCTAATGCCCAGTTCTCAGTTTCTAAATATAATCTTTCATTATAAGAAACTATACTCCCAGGCCAGGTATGGTAGCACACACCTTTAATCCCAGCACTCGGGAGGCAGGCAGATCTCTGTGAGTTCAAGGCTAGCTTGGTCTACCTAGTAAGTTCCAGGTGAGCTGGGGCTACAGGGAGACCCTGTCTCAGAAATACCAAAAAAAGAGAAAGAAAAGAAAATAAAAAAGAAAGAAACTATAGTCCCTATAGTCCCTAGCTGGACCTGGCGGCACATGCCTTTAGTATAGCACTCAGGAGGCAGATAAATCGAGGCCAACCTAGTCTGCATAGTGAGTTCCAGGTCCACTGGGGCCACAGGAGACCCTGTCTCAACAAGACAAAAAAAAAAAAAAAATTAAATAAAAAAAGAAACTATAATCCTTGAGGAAAATGGCTGATCTTAGCCTGGTGCAGGGAATATACAAGATGTGTCAAAACTGACTGGGGGTGGTAGTATATGCTTGTAATCTCAGTTCTAAGGAGGCTGAGGCAGGTGCATCTTGAGTTTGAGGTCAACCTAAGCTACACAGCAAGACCCTGTCTTAAAAATTCAGGGGCCAACTGGACATAGTGACACATGTCTTTAATCCCAGTGTTCAGGAGGCAGAGGCAGAGGCAGAGGCAGGCAGATCTCTGTGAGATCAAGACCAGCTGGTCTACATAGGGAATTGCAGGCCAGTTGGGGCTACAGGGAAACCATCTCAAAAAAAAATCAAGGGCTGGAGTTATAGCTCAGTGTAGAACACTTGCCTGATATTCACAAAGCCTTGGGTTCAATCCCCAGCACCCTAACTACAGAAAAAAAATTAGGAAATATAGCCATGCCTGGTAGTATAGCCCTGTAATCTCAGCTACTCAAAGCAAAAAGATCAAGAAGCCAGACCTGCCTTGGCTACAAAATGAGTTCAAGGCTAGCTGTGGCAACTTAAATAACTCCCCATCTCAAAATAAGTAAGAGGGCCATAATACCCTCAGTGATAGTCTCTCAGTGATAGAGTGCTTGCTTAGCATGTACACAGGCCCTTTGTTCAATCCCCAGTAGTGAAGAAAAAAAAGTGAGGAAGAAAAGATAATGAAGGAGAGATAATAGAACCTGTTCTGGAATACAGGAGCCAACTTAAAGCTCCCAGGGGCAAAGCTGGGACAGTGACAGAACATTCATAATGAATTATAACCCAAAGTATAAAATGAATATTCATAGCCCTAACACATCCCTTCCTTGTCACTGACTACCAAGGAGTGCATAAAAGGAAAAGGTAGAAAGTAATTTCACAATGTAGACTCCTGGTAGGCATGACCTCAGCCAGGTGACCAAAGTCACAGGCATGAGTAAGCCACTTGTGGCAGCCCAAGCCAGCCTGGAACAGTCCAGGTACTCCTCTTGTACAGTGCCCATGTGGCCTCATTTCACCATTTCTGTTGGCTTTGTAGCTAATGGGTCTGTGAAATGAACACCAGTTTAGGAGCCCAGGCCTAAGCTTGCTGTCAGCCAGATGAGAATAATCCCTCTGCCTTCCTACATACCCACTCCTGAGGAAAGCCAGCCCCTCTGGTCATGTAATATCAAAAGGGTCCCAACACCTCATGCTGACCTGTGTGTGCACATGGCCACCTATTCCCAGACACACTCGGCCATCAGCTTGATGAGGACAGCCCCCAACAGGCCCAGGGGCCTCTTCACCACCACGTGTGGGAACCACATGGGCATTGGTTTCTGGCTTGTGTCCTGTGGTCCTCATGGTTCTGTTTGCTCCCCAGTGACACAGCACATAAAAGAGCTTCTGGAAAGGAACAGTAAGAAGAAGTCCAAACTGAGAAAGAAACCCAAGCCTTATGTTGAAGAGCCAGATGGTAGGGCCTCTGCAGCGTGGGCGCTGCCTCTGCATCGTTCTGCTCTCCAGCCATGGCCGCCTGGCCTTCTCTTCTCTAACCGCTTCTGGGTCGGGGGAGGGACACTAACCTCAGGCCTGGGGCCCCCCAAACAAGCAAGAACCTGGAGGTCTAGGGTGCCAAAAGAACCTTGGAGAAATGGTACATGACCTGTACCTCTTCTGGCAGTACCCAGGACAATCCCCACCTTGCTTCTTGGTGGGCAGGGGGCATGAGGACTAGTCTGTGAAGGCCTGGAGTCACCCCCAGGTGAGTGTTTAGACCTGACCCTGGGGTGAGGCTCACAGGCAAAGGAGCTAGGTGCCCTGTGGCAAGTGCCTCCCCAGCCCTGTTCTCTACCCCAGCACCTCTTAGGTCAGGAGAGCCCATCCTAATATTAGCAAGGAATCTCCCCTCTTCCAGAGTAGCCCCTAGAAAAGCCTTCTGAAGCCTAAAGTTTCCCTTTCCTCCTCTACCGGCATCCTTCCTGCCTTTCCCCTGGGCTACGACTCAGAACCACTCTGCTCAAGTTGAGCTCCAGGAGAGGCTATGCCATCCCTATCCAGAGCTCCCGATGACAGTTCAGTGACCCTCCCTCCTCCCCCAAATCCCCGAGACCTAGGCAGTTCTAGCCTTCCTGCAACAACTGTATAGAGCTACTTCCACCAAGCCATGGCTCACGCTGTCTGAAAGCCCTGCTTTCCTGTTCTTTGCTCCACTCTTCCTACCCCAGAAAGTCCTCTCCCACTGTATACTGCATACAGGGACTCAGGACAAGAGGGGACTTTCTGTAGAGTGGATGAAGCATACTTAGAACAAACTTGGGCCCACAGGAAGTTGTAGAGGGACAGCGGAGGCCCTTATGAGCAAGGCCAGGATGGCATCTATAAGGCTGAAAACTTGTCCTCACTCGGGGCCTCCCAGGCTACCCTAGCAGGCCTGTGTCAGGCAGCTGCAATCTAAGCTGCAGGCAACCTTGTACTGCTCATGGGGATAGCAATAGAAAGAGCTCTGATACCCTGCCTAGGCCAACCACTTGCGGCCTGGGAGCTGGGCAAATGCCTATGAATCATGAGTTGTTGCTGTGGCCAAGAAGGCAGGGAACAAGTTCCTGTGGGTTTGGAGCAAAACTGGGGAAAGCATTGAAGCCCAGAGTGTGTATCAGGTAGGGATCAAGGAACCGACCTGACACAAGGACCTGGACCAAGGAGGGTAAGCAACCACAGCCTTTGTGGCTTATGGTCTAGATGCCTGGAAGCTGTTCCTATAAGTCTGTTGGCAGCCTTTCCCCACCAGTAAAACTACCTGCATCATGGTAGAGGTACTGGTCCAGGTTCAGCAAGGCCAGATTGGGAACCCAGAACAGAGCTCCTCACAAGGAAACATTTCCCTAGGCTAGCCATGACCACTGTCTGACCCACCCTGGACACTGAACACAGAGCAGAAATCACAGCAACTTTCTAGACTCTGGGGCATATGTGGCCCCAGCTTCAGTCTTGTTCTACCTGCCACAGCCATGGCACCAGCAGCTGTCTTTTGAATACTTACTGAGTACCAGACTTCCAGATCAACCATTCACAGGTACCTATGAAACAGGTGTTATCCTTGCCCCTGTTCTACAGTAAACTGGTGCCCCACCACTAGTTGAGAAGTAGTAGGTAGTTCAGTAGGCAGGGGTTGTTCTGGTTCTACGCGTCCACTAAACACTTTTATATTTTCCCACATGTCAGCACTGAATGAACAGAATAGGAAACAACAGTCTCAGCCCTTCCATTGTCCTCAAACTTCACCTTTTGAGCTAAGCCGGGGGGAAGCACTTAAACAGTATATATATATATTTTTTTTTTTTGGTCTTTTTTTGAGACAGGGTTTCTCCCTGTAGCCCCAGCTGTCCTGGAACTCACTATGTAGACCGGGCTGGCCTCAATCTTACAGAGATCCACCTGCCTCTGCCTCTCAAGTGCTGGGACTAAAGGCATGTGCCACCAAGCCTGGCATAACACCCTATCCATTCTTTAAAAACAAAGGAGCCTCAGAACTCTTGTGAAGAGCAGGTGGCCTGCAGTAGGAGGCTCCAGCACTGTCCCAAGCCGACTGAAGACAAAGCCAAGATCTTCTGCCAGGGTCTGTGGATCTTCTGGGACCTGGGGCAGACTGTCCAAGACATAAACATCTGAGAAATGTTTAATTATTTTGATTAGAAAAGAGCCCTTTTTACAAATGTGATGAAAAAATTATTTTGTTATAATTAGTGAGTGTTCTCATGGGCTAAATATACTTGTGGGTTTTTTGTTGTTGATGGTTTGTTTGTTTTTTTTTTTTTTTTTGGCCTTTTTGAGACAGGGTCTCCCTGTAGCCCCAGCTGTCCTGGAACTCACTATGTAGACCAGACTGGCCTTGAACTCACAGAGATCTGCCTGCCTCTGCCTCTGAAGTGCTGGGATTAAAGGTGTACGCCACCACGCCCAGCCCATACTTGTGTTTTTAAAATTGTGATCCAAGGATCCCTCCAAGTCCTCAGATGTCCACAAGAAACTGCTTCCTTTCAAAGGCAAAGGTACTCCCATTTGTGAGCCTGGATCTACAGGCCCCATTCATCTGAGCAGGTGGCAAGCATGGAGGGCAGCAGGAGCAAGTGCATTCCAGAAGAGGGATGTCAAGTGTCTAGAAGCACACAACCCTGGCTGGTGGCTATCTGACCACAATACCTCCTGGCATGTTCTGTCATATGCCCCCCTATTTGCTAGGACCAGGAGGGTGCCACATAGACCCCAGGTTCCCAGGGAAGAGACATCATCTTCCAGTCCCACCAGGCCTAGTCTGTCTACTACTCACTTAACACTCCAGTACCACCAGCTCTACTACAGGGGCTGAGTCCTAGAAAGCCCCTCCCTTGAGAGAGGAAGCCAGCCTTCAGCCCTGCTATTACCTTGCCCTCTGGTTAGATAGTGTTGGCTCAGAACACTGGCATCTTCTACATGCTCTCTTTTTCCATCCTCCCTCTACCTGACACTCCACCTCCAGTCCATTCCCACCCCCAAGAAGACCAGGGCTGCTGGAAAGCTGGGCTTGCCGCAGCACTGGCCAGAGGCACCAGATGTCTCATCCAGCAGCTCCTTCCCCAGAGATCAGGGAAGCCCAAAAGGCTCTCTAAGGCCAACTAAGGATGGAAGAAAGTAGGGTTTTGGGGCCTTGGGGCTCAGGATGGGCTCTTTCCAAACCTGTGACTCTTTATAGGGAAGTAGCTTTGTCCCCAACCTGCTGTTCCTAGGTGGCTATAGAAAGGCTGGCAGTGGGATTTCTCCTCTTACCTCTCTGCTTGGGTCTGTGCTCTAAAGGCCATTGCCTGGGAAAGAGAGTAAGGGCTACTTAGGAGTGGGTGGAAGGCTGACCACACCAGAAGCCCCTACAGTTACTGCTGCTTTCAGCCCCTGTCCATACCAGGTTGACTGGTACTCTTTCTTTTTCAGGGGTGGCGATAAGCACCTATGCGAAGTACTGTTACCACAAACTGCAGAAGGCAGCCCTAACTGGGGCCAAAAAGGTACAAATGCTTCTGTTAGAAGCAGGGTAGGGCAAACAGCCCACCTCCAGTCCTTCCAGAAGCCCATTGGGGAGGTTCATCTAGAAGTACCCCCAGCCTGTGTCATCGGCTGACAAGTAAAGCCACAGGAGATCCTATGGTCTCCTGCACTTTCCCCTCAGAGGGCCCCTGAACACATCCAGACCTCCAGTTGAGGGCCAATCCAAAGGAGTGCATGCATGGGCTAGGCAGGGCATCAGGTAGCCTACTTGATCTATGTGCCCAGACATGCTCAGCCTGCCTTTGTGGCATGGAGAGCCCGGGAACAGCATCCTTGCTACACTGGCCCCTTAAGAACTCCGTCTGGCATGGTGAGATGTGGAAGGCAAGCACAGCTACAAGAGGGTCAAAAGACCATCCTGTGTTAGAGACTCACCCCTCCACCTTTCTATATATCCATGAGGGTTTTTGTTTTGGGTTTTTTTTTTGTTTTGTTTTGTTTTGTTTTTGGTCTTTTTGAGACAGGGTCTCCCTGTAGCCCCAGCTATCCTGGAACTCACTGTGTAGACCAGGCTAGCCTTGAACTCAGAGATCTGCCTGCCTCTGCTGGGATTAAAGGCCACCACGCCCGGCCTGTATCCATGTTTTGATGTATTGCAGATGGCCTGATGAGAGAACCCTTTGGTGACTTGGGCCAGGATCTAGGCTGCCCTTGGTTCTGATTGGGCCAAGACCTCCAATTCGGAGGGATGAAAAAGGGAGGCTGGACTAGATCAGGAACCTGAGTGCTGGACTGTCTTCACAGGGGCTAAAGAAGCCCAATGTGGAGGAGATCCGGCATGCCAAGAACGCCGTGTTCAGCCCATCCATGTTTGGCAGTGCACTGCAGGAGGTCATGAGCATGCAGAAGGAGCGCTACCCTGACCGGCAACTACCCTGGGTACAGACACGGCTCTCTGAGGAGGTGCTGGCACTCAACGGTGACCAGACAGAGGGAATTTTCAGGTGCCATGCCAACCCCAGCCCCGGGCAGAGAGGCGGGGAGAGAGTGCACAGGCATATGTCCACTATATGTTTCTAACAGCAGGAACCATTAAGCCTAAGGGCCATGTAGCCAAAAGAGACAAGGCGGGGCCTACCCATAGGAGGCAAGTCTGCTGCTACATCCCCCATAAGAGTGGTCAACAAGAAGCAGACATCAGGGGTCCAGAGTGTACCTAGACACCAGCAGGGGCTTCACTTACGACAAGAGCTTCAGGGGGCATGTAGCTGATCAGACACAGCATGCAGTCAAGCAGCCCCAGCTCACCATCCTTTATGAATCAGGATGTAATGGCCTCTGCTTTGGGGGTGATACTTGCTATACAGTGTCAACCACTGTCATGAGTCACCAGACAGGACCAGGGATGCTCAGGCCCCAAAGGACAGGTAGGGAAACAGGGTTGTAAGTTTGGACTTTAGTGGCCTGAAGAGAATGGCAGCTTCACAGGGAACCCAGTAGAGTCCAGGAAGGGAAAGTGACCCAGGAGGACCCCATACCACTGACTCAAATGCATGGGTCATGCTTCCCCCCAAAGGGGAAACAAGGCCTTGAACCATCCCACACTACCACAAAAGAGTAAGCATGTTGGTGGGATGTTGTTCTGCACTATTCCTACCCCAAGCACTAGGGCAAGATGAGCAAACGTCATCTCAGATATGCTCTGTACTCCCCAGGGTCCCTGGTGACATTGATGAAGTAAATGCTCTGAAGTTGCAAGTGGATCAGTGGAAGGTGCCTACAGGTCTGGAGGACCCCCACGTCCCTGGTGAGCCTCCTACATAGCAGCAGGGCAGGTGTGGACCATCCTTAAAGTTTCAAGGAGTTCCTGGGCGCTAACCTGCATGCAGAGCCCAGAGCATAGGTGGCCATTTAAGCCAAGGCCTCTTGTCCCTCAGCCTTTCTGTGGCTGTAACTTTCCACCTTCCTCCACTTCTGGGACCTACCTCCAAAGGAATCCCCTTAGTGAAGTGATACCTCCCCAGTTACTTCTTGACATCCCTCTGCCTCTGGACAGTGTCTTAAGGCACACCTGGGTTCAGCCCTTCCAGAGCAGCCCAGCCTGTAGCTCTTTGCTTTGGGGCTTTCCCAGCCAGCTTCTGCAGCAACTGCACTATGCTTGTAAGAAATTCTAAGATTTGAGTGGGACATGGCACCACCGCATGCCTGTAGTCCCAGCACTTGGGAGGCAGAGGCAGGCGGATCTCTGCAGAGTTCAAGGCCAGCCTGGGTTACATAGTGAGTTCCAGGCCAGCTGGGGCTATAGAGAGACCCTATTTCAAAAAGACCCCCCCCCAAAAAAAAGAAAGAAAAAAGAAATTCTAAGATTGATCCCAAACCCTTGGGTAGCTACCATCTCTGGGATCTGTACCCAGGCTGGACAGTTTGGTCCAGGAGGACCCTTTCCAGCCGACTCCATTCTCTCCCCCACACCTTTGAATGTGGCCTCTGGGGGATGCTTGACTTGGTGGCCCCCAGATCATGTCCATCTGAGCTATGCCTACCCTCAGCATCACTGCTGAAGCTGTGGTACCGGGAGCTTGAAGAGCCTCTGATTCCTCATGAGTTCTACGACCAATGCATTGCGCACTACGAGAGTCCAGAGGCCGCCGTGGCTGTGGTGCACTCGCTACCGCGCATCAACCGCATGGTACTGTGCTACCTCATCCGCTTCCTCCAGGTATGCACGCTCTGGACACGCCATGCCACACCCACCCTCCACTCGGTCATGCCCACCCTCCACGTTGTGTTTTTCTTCCCCCACCCCATGTAGGTGTTCGTGCAGCCAGCCAATGTAGCCATTACCAAGATGGACGTCAGCAACCTGGCCATGGTGATGGCACCCAACTGCCTGCGCTGCCAATCAGATGACCCAAGGGTCATCTTCGAGAACACGCGAAAGGAGATGTCCTTCCTGCGCGTGCTCATCCAGCATCTAGATACCAGCTTCATGGAGGGCGTGCTATAGCACACGGGCCACGGATGTGGGCTAAGGTGGGGCACGGGGAGGGGGGAGGGAAGGCCCTAACTCAGGGGCAGCATGCCAGGCCCTGCTAGACGCCCACGCCGCCCCAGACCCACCCAGGCAGAGTCGCTGCGCCCGCACCTCGCGGCCACTTCCTGCAGGCACTGGGACTCCGCTGTCGGCCGCAGGCCAGCCCCGAGAAGTGCCTTCTGTTTCCCGGAGCCGAGCGACACTGCCCTCCAGGCCGGCCGGAGCACATGCCACGTTGTCCTGGGCACCTCTCTTCCAGGCACTCCCCTCCCTGACCCCTCCTGCCCTGAAGGGCCTAAGGTCTGGGCCTGAACCAGAGTTGGACTGGACATCATTAGGGTGTGGCCTGCCGGCCCAAGGCCTGAGCGCCCTTGGTGCGAGGGGAAGCCCCCAAACCAAAGTCCTCTGGGGTGGGGCCAGGGCTAGACAGGCATCCTTGGGGCGGGTGGGGGAGGGCAAAGACTTTTTTTTTTTCTGGTAAACCTGAATCCAGAATCTGTACCACACCCAGCTCACCTGTGTATAGAGATATAAATAGAGCGACAGATGTCAACTAAATTTGCTAAGGTCATACATAGTTTTAACCAGATGCTATTTATCTCTCAAACTGTCCTCGCTGTCCTCGCACTGAGCAAGTTAGCACCACCCTCTTTGACCTCGAGGCCTCTGACCAAACTCCATACCCTGGCGACGCGCGGACCGGACCCAAGACTCGTCTGCGTTTTCCGTCCTGGAATCTGAGTTATAACTGTGGTCAAACTTAATTTCCCTCGTTTTATATATATATATTTTTTAGAGTTGTTTTATTTATTAAAAACAAAAGCCCCGCCCTGCCAAGGCCCACAGTCCTCCGGGTTAGTTAGCGGTCTTGGGCTTCGAGGGCTGCAGGTGCTAGCTCTGACGCGTGGACTGAGGCAGTGCTTCCTGTGAATAAAGTTAATGTGGACATTCCTGCTGCCTAAGCCTCGGGTTCCTTCTGACACAGCTTGGGGGCGGGGGGGTAGGAATCTGACGACTTCCGGGGGAGGGAACGAAAGCTCCAGGCCACGGTTCTAGAAGTGTTTCGCTCAGTGCCGCGCTTGGGTGACCTGTTTCCGGTGCGGAAAGATGTGGCCGCGGCACCGGGCAGTGCCGCACCTAACTCTGGCCTTGGCGAGGTCGCGAGGAGCTCGGGCCTGCAGCGGGGACAGACGCGTCTCCTACACGCAGGGCCAAAGCCCCGAGCCCAGAACTCGCGAGTATTTCTACTACGTGGATCACCAGGGCCAGGTGGGCCTGCCTTGGGGCATAGAGGAATCCTGAGGTGGCTGGAGCCTAACGTGCGCCCGGCAAAAGGCGGGGCCTCGGGCGGAGAAGGGTCCTGGGGGCGGGGCCAAGGAGGTGAATCTGGCTTGCAGAGCCCAGGCCCGGAGCTGGAAATTCCAGGGCCAGCCTCCAACAAGGTGCTACAGCCCCGCCCCAACCCCAGGGCTAAATTCTCCCGATTGCCGTGGACACCCATCAGTCCTGCCGGCTTTGGGAGGGGGGAAGGACTGCAGGGCAGGAAACCTGTATGTAAGTGTGAGGGAAAACCCGCCAGGGCCCTTTCTCATGCCCCCTTGCACACATAACCCAGAAAAGCAAGGACCGCGGGCACAACACTGAGCTCAGGGCCTTCTTGCCCGGACTTATTGTCTACAGTCTGTCCCCTCTTGTCTGCAGCTTTTCCTGGATGACTCTAAAATGAAGAACTTCGTCACCTCCTTCAAAGGTACTACTGCACTGCTCTCCAATGCCTCTCCCCAGCCCTTCGAGACATCCCTAGACCTGTCTCCGCTCCCCGCACTGCAGGCAGAGCTCGCCTGCAATCGGGGAGCCGGCAGCCCAGTGCCCGCGCGCGTGTGGTCCAGGGAGAGGAGCCTGTCTAGGGAGCTTGGGCGCCCAGCATGAAGCGTCGTTCATTCCTTTGTTCCCACAGACCTGCAGTTCCTGGTCACTTTCTTCTCCCGTCTAAGACCCAACCGCAGCGGGCGCTATGAGACCTCCTTCCCCTTCCTCTCGCCTTGTGGCAGAGAGCGCAACTTCCTGCGCTGTGAAGACCGGCCTGTGGTCTTCACACACCTTCTGGCCACCGACAGCGGGTCCCCGAGCCTCTCCTACTGTGGCGGTGGAGAGGCCCTGGCCGTACCCTTCGAGCCGGCTCGCTTGCTGCCCCTGGCGGCTAACGGGCGCCTGTACCATCCGGCGCCGGAGCGCGCGGGAGGCGTGGGCCTGGTACGCTCGGCCCTGGCCTTCGAGCTCAGCACCTGCTTTGAGTATGGACCTGGATCACCCACGGTCCCCTCCCACGTGCGATGGCAGGGCCGCCGTTTTGCCCTCACTATGGATCTGGCTCCGCTGCTGCTCCCTGTTCCGCCGCCCTGAGCCGTGGGCTGGGGCCGAGTGGATAGGGTTAGGGCAACCACCAGGCTTCGCAGCGCTTGCTGGCTTCCCCTTGGTCCCAGTGTTCCAAGTGGGACCCGGGGGTCCCCGGTCACTTGCGCACATGGGGGACAGAGTGCGCATGCGCGCAGAGGAGCCGGGCGACCAGCGAGTTGGCGCTGTCCAAGGTGCTGCCGCCGACCCGCTGCCCTGGATCCCTACAGAAGGTCTCTCCGTCACCTCTCACCCTTTCAACCGCCAGGCGTCCCGCGGATTGGCCTGCGCTCTCTACGTCAGGCCGAGCGCCTGGCGCAGGCTGTGCGCGTCCCGGTGCGCGTGCGCGCCCCGCCCCCTGTCGCTTCTTTAGTCCCGCCGCCGCGGGTTCGGTGGGGAGCCTTCTGCTGCCGGAGCGTCAGGTGAGGGGGATCCCGGCCCAAGGTCACCCGGCATGGGGGCGGGATCAAGACCTGGGTTCCTGCCGCCGCCCCAGGAAAAGGCCATGTATCCTGGCAGCTGGGAGGGAGTGGAGACCACGCCCTCTATGAGCCCAGCCCTAGACCCACTGGAGCCTGAGGGGGGAGTTAGGGAAGGTCTTGGAGGTTTAAGGCGCCAGGTTGCAAGGGCTACCGAAGACCTCAGCTAAGGTCTCGCGCTGCACCTGAGAGGACACAGCGCTGGCCTCCAACCTCCTCCCGTGCAGATGGGCGCCCGGGAGACTGTTATCCGGCTCCTGCCCAGGATTAGGGGTTCATGACCTGATAAAAGGATTTCTGGGCTCTTCTAGTCTGGGGCCCTCCTGTCATGGCTGTCTTAAAAGTGATGCACACTGGGCATCTACTTGAGCAGCATCTCGGATCCCTGAGGCGCAGATCAAAGCGTTGCTACTGAAGGCTGGACAGATGGCAAGGCCTGGAGCCAGGGGCCAGCTAGCCCTTCTGCTCAGGGAAATTAAACCCAGAAGCCTAGGAAATGCTCCAGCTTCTTGGGCTGCCACACAACTTGAGATACCTGGGATCTGCCTTTACCTAAGCCAAAACTATTTCATTAAAACTTGATTGCTGTGCTGCCTGATCTCTAATGACTTTAAATAATCATGTGAATTACAACTGGGGCACAATAGAAACAAACACTAAGACTACTTACTATCATTCAACTTAGAGCAAGAAGACCTAGTTTAATAATGGGTGTTCAGCTGGGCGTGGTGGCACATGCCTTTAATCCCAGCACTTGGCAGGCAGAGGCAGGCAGATCTCTGTGAGTTCAAGGCCAGCCTGGTCTACATACCAAGTTCCAGGCCAGCTGGAGGTGCAGGGAGAACCTGTCTCAAAAAGATCAAATAATAATAATAATGGGTGTTGAGAGGGTAGACGATGCCAAGTGAGGGTGAAGACTGAAGAATGGCACATGCTTGCCCTATCTTCCCTAACCCCAGAATAGGAAAATCAACCCTGGTCTTGCCATTAAAACTGGGTTTACTGTGCCTAGACCTAGAGCCCAGGCCTCCCATCCCTAGAGTGACAGGTGCATACAGTAAGCCACCACAAATTATACTTTGTAATTTCAGTGGTCATTGCTCCTCCAGTCCACTTAGGACACTACATTAGATAACCAACTGGAGGTTTAACTCAGTGGTATACCATGTGCCTAAGCCTGTGTTTAATGTGCATGAGACCCTGAGGTCAGTCAATCCCTAGAAGGAAGGAGAAAAAGCAGTTGGCGGCCTAAGGCCCCTGCTCTCACATCCCAGCTTTCCCAGGATAACCCAAGAAAGCTGGGTGTGGTGTATATCTGTAATCTCAGCACTTGGGAGCATGAGGCAGGAGACTCTCAAGTTCAAGTCTAGCCTGGGCTATGTAGCAGGACCCTGACTCAAAAATCTAAAAGAAAGTAAAAGTTACCAGAGGAAAACCCCCAACTCTAGGTATGCTGGTCACCAACCTTGGTGCAGTGGGAGTATAGACTGCACCAAGCTGTGCTGTAACTGCCCTATAGCTCCTGTCTCTTTTTTTTTTTTAATTATTTTTTATGTGTATGCCATGTATTGTATGCATGTAGGTAAGTGCACCCGTGTTGTGCAATGCCCATGGAGGTCAGAAGAGGCTGTCAGATCCCCTGGGACTGGAGTTAAGGACTGTTGTTGGCTGCCGTGTGGGTGCTGAGATTTGAACCTGGGGCCTTCTGCAAGAACAACCAGTGTCCTTAACTGCTGAGCCATCTCTCCAGCCCTTCCTGGCTCTTCTTAAACCAGTTCTCCCCACATCCCACTCAAATCATGACAAATGAACCATAAGATAGAGTTCCTTGCTCTTGTTTTGGGACAGAAAAAGATATTTGCTTTGGGCCAAACCTTAGACTGTTGCCAGTACCCACAGAGTGAAGACAAGGGGACATGTCTGCCCAGAGCCTGCTCTTCCTTTCTGGCCCATACTTGTGTAATTGGACTTCTTGCAAGCCTCTTAACCTGGGAGCCAAGGAGAGGCCATCACCAGGGTGCAGGTAGGGTGGTGTTGTCATGTCCATGAGGACCAGGAGCTCTCAAGATAGGCATGAGAAGAGGTCTAGGGCTGGGTGGGTGCCCCCCATGAAATTTTCCTTTAAAAAAATTTATATGTGCTCGTGCATGCATGGTAGGGGCACACAGGGCCATGCCTGTGGAGGTCAGAGGACAACTTTGTGAAGTTGGCTCTCGTCCACCTTTACATACGTTCAGTGGATGGAACTCAGGTCACCAAACTTGCCAGGAAGTGCCTTTCCCCACAAAGCCATCTTGCCAGCCCTCATGAAGGTTTTGTCAAGGGAAGAAACTAGGTTTTATTTTTATTCATCACCTTCTTGTACTGACTTTAATTCTTCAAAAGTTACACACATGGCTGTTCATGGTAGCACATGCCTTTAATTCCAGCACTTGGGTGCAGAGGCAGGTGGATTACCCTGGTCTGCATAGCAAGTTGAAGGCCAGCACTACATAGTGAGACCCTGTCACACACAAAAAAACAATTTACACACATTGTAGACCTCTATCTGTATCTGTGTTTGTATATTGGCTATTTTTTATTTATTTTTGTTGATGCTTTGTATTTTGAGACAAGGTCTCACTGCAGCCCAGCCAGGCTAGCCTCGAGCTCACAGCAATCCTGTGGCCTCAGGCTCCAGAGTGCTGAGATTACAGGGTGACCCACCACACTTGGCATTCCATTCCTGCTCATGCACTGGCTCAATGTTAGCACTGGCCTGCTAACCTGTTGCAGGAGGCGCATCCCATCTGGGGCCAAACCCTTCCTGGTGGGTCTCTTCGGAAATGGCTCCAGGGGCTTCCACTCTGCTACTGCTGGGACTGCTGCTGCTGCTGCCCGGGGTCCCACCCCACACCGCTGGCTGTCCAGCTGCCTGCCGCTGCTACAGCGCCACAGTGGAGTGCGGCGCCCTGCGGCTGCGCGTGGTCCCACCAGGGATCCCTCCTGGGACACAGGTGGGCACGATGTCAAATTAGAAGGTCTTGGGTTGGAGTAGTGGGCTGTAAGTGCCCACCACAGTGGAGGGGGTTGTGAGTTTCAGAGGTATAGAGGAAGGTCACTAGGGTCCAGAGGCAGACGAGTGGATGGGGCGTTTCACCGGCCACAGACACCCCCCGCCCCCGACAGTGAAGCATTTCTCTGGCTCCAACCCGCAGACGCTGTTCCTGCAGGACAACAGCATCGCGCACCTGGAGCAAGGTACCCTGGCACCGCTTGTTGCCCTGCGTCATCTCTATCTTCACAATAACAGCCTTCACGTGCTGGAGTCCGGCTCCTTCCGATCACAGCCCCGCCTGCTAGAACTAGCACTGACCGGCAACAGGCTACGCGGTTTGCGTGGAGGTGCTTTCATAGGTCTGGCCCAGCTGCGTGTACTGTACCTGGCTGGCAATCAGCTGGCGAAGCTGCTGGATTTCACCTTCTTGCACATGCCGGTGAGTGCCAAAGGCCAAAAAGCACGGGCTCTGGGCTCTTCCTTTGATGCTAATCACTCCCCCACTGGAGAGAGTAGTTAGGGGAGATAAGTCAAATCTATCTAGCTTCCCAGGGCTTTTTCATGATAATCTTCTGTCCCTACTTCAGCGACTACAGGAGCTGCATCTTCAAGAAAACAGCATTGAATTGCTGGAGGACCAGGCCTTGGCTGGGCTCTCCTCCCTGGCCTTGCTGGACCTCAGCAGAAACCAACTGGGCACCATCAGCAGGGAGGTCCTGCAGCCTCTCACTAGCCTGCAAGTCCTGCGCCTCACAGGTAACTTACTCTTCTTTGAGCAAGGGTCTCAGTCTGGTCCACAACCACATCAGTAGGAAGTGGTTCAGGTGTACAAGGGGCAGGGACAGAGACACAGCTCCAACCTGTAGCCAAGTCAGCCTGGGGAGTTCCTGTAATCTTTCAGGGATCTCTGACTGTGGTAGGGTCAGATTCTTGACTTTGGGGCAGAGAAGAATTTCAGAATGAGCCATATGTAGCAGAACTGGAGTTTACTAAAAGATTAATATAAATTTTAAGTATGAGGGTTAAGAGAGGGATGCTCTTGAAGACACAACGAAGAGCACTGGTGTGGGTTTTACAAAGAGTCACCTGGTTTGGGTGGCTTCTGAAGTTGCATCTGTAAGTAAGCGCATAAGATGGTTCCTATATATTGGATAGGATTACAACTGATAAGGCAAAATGCTAGGTCACCAGGGTTGCAGGGGAAGATGTTCTTACTGTAAGCGAAGGTTTAGTCTTGATTACCCCAGAAAATATATGTAAAAGGATTAAGGCCATACTTGAATATCATATAGGGTTAGGCCTTAAGTATGGGTCAGCGTTATTTAGCATTCTCTGTCACTGTCAGCAACCTTTAAAGCAAATGTTAAATGTGCTAGAATCCTTAATTCTCAACCAGTGAAAGGCTTCAACCAGACTCCACATGGACATACCTCCCCTCCCATGTCCCTGTAAGTTTCCCTTTTTATCCTGTTTCACTATGGCAGATCTTGAGCAGCACTTTGAAGGGCCACACCCTAACCTTCAGCCTTGTTAAAGGGCTGCCAAGGAGTGCTAGTAGGAAGGCACCTACCTAAGGTACGAGCTGCAGAGTGACTTAACAGAATTGAGACTTGCCACTCTGATCAACAGAGAGAAGGCAGGCAAAAACTAGAACAGTCCTATGACTGCAGGGTTTCAGTGCTGCTGGAATATGTATGAAAATAAGAGATTTACAAACGTGGGCTGGGGAGGCCAGAACAGATGCTTTCTCAGAAACAGACCACACAGCCAAGAGGGGGTGAAACTCCTAGAAACTGGAGGCGAAGATCAAGGAAGGGTGAAAGAAGAGGTAATATGGGCTCTGGGACTCCGTAGGCATCTCTAGGCGATGGGAAAGGGCTTCTGTGTAGACCAGCAGAACCCCAAACTAGGCTATGTTCTGCTCTACATACAGAGAACCCATGGCGTTGTGACTGTGCCCTTCACTGGCTGGGTTCTTGGATCAAGGATGGAGGCCGGCGGTTGCTCAGTTCCAGGGACAAGAAGATCACGTGTGCAGAGCCCCCGCGCCTGGCTCTTCAGAGTCTGCTGGAAGTATCTGGTAGTAGCCTCATCTGTATTCCTCCCTCTGTGTACGTGGAGCCCTTGGAGCTAACCGCTAACCTGGGGGAGGACCTGCGGGTAGCCTGTCAGGCATCAGGCTACCCACAGCCCCTGGTGACCTGGAGGAAGGTGCTGCAGTCTCGGGAGGGCCTGCCTCAAGCCCAGGCCCAGCTGGAAGACGGGGCACCGGGCCTGGTAGGGCAAGCGATCCGTGACACTGGCAGCGGCATGCTCTTCCTCACCAACATCACGCTGGCGCACGGCGGCAAGTACGAGTGCGAGGCCGCCAACGCCGGAGGCAGAGCACACGTGCCATTCCTCCTCCTGGTCAACGCGTCCCGGCAGCAAGCCCAGCAGCTGCCAGCCCTACGGGCCCCGGCCGCACGCCCCTCCGGACGTGAGCCCCGGCACGAGGCGGGCAGCATGGCCTTTCGCGCTCTCAGCCTGGCCACACAGACGGCGATCGCGGCGGCCATCGCACTGCTAGCGCTCACTGCGCTGCTGCTGGTCACCATGATCTGCCGCCGCCGGCGCCGCCGGAAAAAGATGCCCGCGCCGCAGGGGGAAGGTGCGCTGTTTGTCAACGATTACTCCGACGGGCCTTGCACCTTCGCGCAGCTGGAAGAGCTCCGAGACGAGCGCGGCCACGAGATGTTCGTCATCGACCGGTCCAAGCCCCTGTTCGCTGAGGCACCACCTGCGGAACCCGGGGACCGCAGCGCGGCCGATAGGCCAGCGTCTGGTCTCCGTCTCCCTCCACGCGTCGCGTACGAGATCCATTGCTGAGCCTGCGGCGCGTGTCAATGACGTGGCACCGGGGATTGGCCGGTGCGACCCCGCGCATGCTCATCAGTAAAGCTAGAAGGTGCGCTTGTGCGCGGAACCGTGTGTGGGACTGCCCGGTCGGGAGTTGAGGGACTGTGAGTGACCGTGGCCAGAGGTCCCTACATACTTCAGTGGCCCCAGCCACCAGCTCTCTGAGGTCCCACCCTGGCTCCATCCTGCAGGAGTGGTACGGTAGCCCAGCGAGTGGGTGGGGCAGGTGGCATGGTTGATTACAGGCCATGCTGGGGCTAACAGCAGAGATGGGGGCAGGTCTTTCTGTCCAGTCAGGACCCCCTCATCAAAGAAAAGGCCACAAATTCAAATTCCAGACACACTGCACATTTGTACCTTGATGACACCCTCTAGAGCCAGATGACAAGGTGGCTTAGGTGCCAAAGCAGGGAACATGGTACAAGGCCCCAGGCTGCATGGGGTACCCCCAAGCCTCCCTGAAGTAGACGTCATCCGGACAACCACCCCAGTGCACTGCACTCCTAGTAGAGATATGAAGCGCCTAGATACCATTTTCTGCAGAGAGGCCCACAACTCTGAAGTTGTGCACAACTAAGTGCAGCCACACAGAGCAGGGGAGTACAGGTCTGAAGTACCCAGAGACAGCCAAATACTGGAAGCAGGAAGCAGAGGAGGAGCCTCAAGGTAGGTACACTTAGGAACAAGGCAGACCCTGCAGAAAACTTGAGAGGCCTTTGTCAGGCCTCCAGCACAACCCCAAAGGCTCTTGACCTATCTCTCAGCCAGATTCCAGAGATCACAGGCTGAAATAGTCTGCAGCTAGGCGCCCATAGATGTCTGTGGTCCAGAGTACATGGGCACGGCCTGAGGCCAACAGCAGCTGGTGCAACTCAGCTTCTACACGGGCAAACTTCTCCTCATTGATGGAAGCCTCAAGCAGGACAGAGGCAGGTGGTGGCCATGGAAGGCCCTCATAGCAGTCCACAGGGAAGGGGTGCACCACAGTGCGCAGTTCAGCCTGCACCACAGAGTCCCGAAGCAGCTCTTTGAGACCTGCCATGGACAGAGGGTTGCCATAGAGACCAAGGTAGCGGAGACTGGCACATCGAGTCAAGGTGGGCAGTGTGGCCAACAGTTGGGCATCAGCAAGCTGGCACTCAGTCAGCTCAAGATGGAGCAATGTGGCTGCTGCTGCCTGCAACAGGCCCTGGAAGGGGGGCAGTTGGCTGCCTGACAGGTCATTACCACTCAGATCCAGCTTCTTGAGGTTGGCAGCATGGGAGCTCTGTGCCAGGAAGCATAGGTCCTCAGGTAATAGTGCACAGAAGGCCAGCTCCAGGCTCTCCAGGGGGCTCTGCAGGGTGCTGTAGGGACACAAGGATTACAGAAAAGCCATAGGCAGGGAGGTCCAGAGGAGGGTACTCACACAGAGAAGGGGTAGAACAGTGACTGAGTCCACTCACCTAAGCAGTTGGTCCAGCTTGCCTGAAAGGAGAGAAGAGCCCATGCTAAGCTCCCGAAGACACGTAAAGCGGCCCATTTGGGCCAGAAAGTAGCGAAAGTTGTCCTCACCATCCACAGAAGGCTGCCTTGAGTCCCCATGTACATAGTGCAGCCGCAGGCTAGCCAGGTCCTGGAAGCGGGCCACATGGGGGATGATAACAGACAGGCCACGAAGGCCCAGGTTATTAAAGCGCAGGTCCACACGGCGCAGACAGCCTGCATCCAGAAGCTGCAACAGGGCCACAGTGTTGCGCATTGGTAGGTCCTCAGCCCGGAGGTCCCGGCAGCAGAGCCGCAGTGGGCTGCCCACACTGCTCCGGAGTGCCTCACGAAGGAATGCATAGGAGGCCCGGTTCACCCTAAGATCCACACGAACTTCCACAGGGACAGCTAACTGCCCCCGCTCAGCAGTCCCGCCCTGCTGCTGGGCAATACATGTTTGGGCCACAGCTGCTGTGCAGTCCCACATGCTCATGGTACCAGGATCCTGCTCCACACCATCATCCAGGAGACCAGTCATGTCCAGCACCCGCAATGCATGCTTCCTGGGAACAAGGATGGCCAGAGGCAGGGGATGAGGAAGCAAAGCCCACATCCCTCCCAGCTGCCTTGTACAGGAGCAACAAACATGACTGTTCCCACACTGAGCCCTAGCCTGTGGGCCTTTCACAGATAAATGTATACCTGCAAAGGGATTGTGTGCCAGCATCAGCTTCTGTACTATGGAGCCGGGCAGTCAGCCCCAGGATCACAGCCTGCATGCTCTCAGTGCTGGGCCGCTCCTGTAGCAGGGCCCGGCTACAATGGGCACATTCCTGCAGCAGCTGCTGGAAGCTAAGCAGTGGGAAAGGCCATGTGTGCACCAGCTCACGAAGTACAACTGTCTTCTTGTCCATAAAGGCCACCTTGAAGAGCAGGGGGAAGAGTTCTCTGGGCAGCAAGGGCAGAGCCTGGCAGGCAGCTGGCTGGCACTGGAGCACCTGCCGTGTGCTGAGGAACACAAGCGTGTGCATGGTGCTGGACTGGGCAGGCAGCCACCTACAGGAGAGGGGTCTTAATTGGAGAAGACAAACACCAGGCCACAAGCTCTCCAGATTATCAATGGTACAAAAACCCAGGATGGTGTCTGACACTGAGTTGGCAGTTAATGGAGGCCACTGCACAAAGGGACACTTCTTTGTTTGGCTTTTGAAGACAGAGTCTCACTATGTAGCCCAAGCTAGCCTCAAAGTTGTAGCAATCTGCCTCTGCCTCCCAAGTTCTGGGCAGAATGGACGAGGACAAGGCCATACCCCAGAAGCATGGGGAACAAAGTGTCAAGTAGTATATATAGTGTGACACTATCAAAAACCTACTTGTTTATGTGTGCTTCTGACCGATAGCTGTTGCTCTTCTAGGCCCCAGATCATAAATATGCTTCAGAAATCTCTCCTCAAAAGTAAACAGGGCTAGGGAGATGGGTCCATAGGTAAAGTGCTTGCTGAGCAAACACAAGAACCTGATTTCAGATCCACAGCACCCATGTAAAAGCCAGGTATGGATAACATACCTCTCTAATCCCAGCATTAGAGTGGGCAGCGACAGGCAGATCCTTGGAGCTCATTGGCTAGTTAGCCAGCCTAGCCTGATACAGGAGTTCCAGATTGGGAAAAAAAAAAAAAAAAGTAAAAATAAAGCCCAGGCCCCTCTCTCCATATTTCATCAGTGTTAGAACATAGAGAACTATCGCAAGGCCAGTAGCCATATCGTGGCTCCCTCCCTCACACTCCTCACAAATGTGCCCTTGAATTTCAGGAAGCCCAGGCATGTCTTAGCAAGTGCCAAGACCAGTAAGAAAAGGCCATGACTCACAGAATCTGAGCAGATGATGCACATTCCATGAGATCAAGGCCGTGAATGTGAACTCCAGAGATAACTGTTTTCTAGGGTATAACCAGGCACAGAAAACCCTGAGAAAAGCGACTCTCACCTTCCATGATCCTTGCTACCTATCTAAGTATCCTTTCTTCACTATGGAACCAATGTGGAGAGAGAGTGAGTTTAAATTCATGGGATTCAGAAGCGTCCAGGTCAGGGATTGCCAAAACAGCATCCCATACGCTGAGAAGCCACAGCTAAAGACCCTGAGGTTGAAGGACCTGGGCAGGCAGACTTCCGGTAGGCCAGACGTCTTATACCCAGAACTACACTACCAGCAATCCCCCTACTACAGATTGGAAGCCCAAGGTCACGGAGAGGGAAAGGAGGTGGGGAGAAGGGTAGCTGAGCCCCTAGGTTTCCTGACTTCTCCTACCTTGAGTAAGTCCTTAAGGCACGAGTTCCTGAGAAGCCCCGAATGCCCACACTCGACCTGGGTTTGCTGGCACGGGAATCTTGCGAGGACGATGCATACCTCGCTGACAGTACAATCTGCTCAAGTACCTGTCATGAGAGGAGACGAAAGCAGCCGACCTGCCCGCCGAGCAAGGACTGCCTCCGGGTAATGCTGCTGCCCGCAGGGGACATGGTGGTCTCTGGGGGAGGCTCGCGCAGACGCCCGCGCCTCAATGCACCAGGAGCCGAGGCCTCAACGCTCCAGTGCAGCCTGATCCTCCACGCCGGAGGCGTCGCCGAGGTCGCTCCGCGCGAGCCGGGCTCAGCCGGGCCCCTGCCCGCCGCAGCGGCACCTCCCTGGCTCCCGTCCGGGTCCGAGGCCTCCCAGGGCTGGCCCTCGCCGACTCTCTCCGACCCTCGCCCAGCAGGACTAACTGACCCGCCCACGGACACAGCCGCAACCACAGCCTACACCTCCAACCCTTCCTGGACTATGGTCCCGCCCCGCCCCGCTTCGTCTTGCGTCACCGCGCCCGGCGATCACGTGGCACCGCCCATAGGCCGTCCTCCAGAACCCGGCGAATTAGCCGGACCCCGCCGCGCGCGCCCATTGGCTGAGAGCCGGGCATGAGCGCTGGCGGCGGGAAATTCTGGAGAACCGTCCAGACCCGCCATGGATCGCCTTCGGGGCGTGCGCGCACGGCTGCAGGAGTGGGAGCGCGCTTTCGCGCGGCTGCACGGACGACGGCCGGAGCAGGTAGTAGGGGCCGGGCACCGGGAACTGGGAGTAGGGAGCCAAGCGCGACCCGCAGCTGACGAGCTCCCCTCACAGGCGGACGTAGAAGTGGCACCCGAAGAGACCCGAGGTGAGCGCGGGTTTGCCGTTGGGTGCAGGGGCCGGGCCCGGGGCGGAGGTCAGATTCGGAGCACCGACCCTGACTCCGCCTTCCAGCGCTCTACCGCGAGTACCGTACCCTGAAGCAGGCTGTGCGCCAGGCTGGTGGCGGATGCCTCATCCCGGAGCAGTCACTCACTACTGTAGCCGAGGAGGTATTCTGGCCCTTCACCCCAGTCTTGTGGTCTGCGTTCTGTATAGTCAACTGGCAAGAGTCAAGAGCAATCGCAGCCATGCCTCCATGAAACACACAAGCTGGGTGGGGAAAGGCCAGGCCCTCCTCTGGTATGGGATAGCGAAGGCTTTGGAAACCCATGTCGTCACTGCCCATGCCATTTTTTTTTGTGGTCTGGGCCGCTATTGTGTACTGCAGGCACAGGAGCCCAGCTGCTGGGGTCCCCATCTGAATCGAGCTGCAACCCAGAATGCACAACCTACTCCAAAACAGAGCCCACGGAGTTCTGTACAGGACTATGGGAAGAGGCTCAAAGCCAATCTGAAGGACACCCTACAGGTGAGAAGCAGAGGTGGACTGGAAGCAGGTCCAAGCTGAGCTGCTCCTGCCCCCGGGTAGGTTCACCAAGGGCCCTTCTTTGCCCACCTTTCTTTACAGTATGTACACAACAGGCACAGGCTCCTGCAGTAACTGGAGCCAGACTTCTCAGGGACCTCTGCTCTCAGCTTGTCTGTCTAGCCTTCAACAGTCCTGAGTTCCTATTTGCTGTTCTGTCCTCCCCCACCTAGGCTGGGCCAAACTTAGGCCGAAAACTCCATCCTCAAAAGAGACCCTTGTCCATGATGCCCACTCCAAGGTGGTCAAGCCCACAGACTGCCCCCACCTGTCCAGGTGAAGCTAATGATGTCCTTCCCCCGCCAAGGTCAGGCCGGCTCCAGCAGCTTCAGGCATCCCTGAGCCAGAGGCTGAGCTCCCTAGACCCTGTCTGGCTGCAACGGTGTCATAACGAAGCCTCAGATTTTCTGGAGGCCCCGGGTATCTATAATCCTGGCCTGAGTGCAGAGGAGTCACAACCTCTGCTGTCAGGCAAGGTGATGGTCCTTGACCCTGGTAGTCACTCAGAAGCATCATCACTGGCCCAAGTAGACTCATGGAGCCCCCATCCCAGCAAAAGTCAAGGCAAGAAGCAGAAACGGAATGAGAACTGGGAGGACTCTGCACAAGTCCAGCAGGACAGCAGCCAAGCAAGACACCTGCGTGAAGTAGTTGGGGCTACTGCACTTGAGAAAGACCCTCGAGGGGAACCCATGCAAGTGAATCTATCTCGGCCCTGCAATTCCTCTAGGCAAACCAGGACAGAGAAGGCTGAGGGGCCCAACCAGCTTCGCATCTCCTCTCGACCAGCTATCCTGGACAAGGGGAACTATATTCGACTCAACATGAAGCAAAAATGCTATGTACGAGTTGGGGCCCTTCGAGGCCGGTCTCTCCGAAAGCAGGTCAGATATGTAGAGTGGTATAGGCAAGCCTTCCCCTCCTCCCTTCTCCCTCCCAAATGATCCTTGTGGACTTTCCCCAGGTATGGAAGCAGAAGTGGCAAAAGAAAGGAGAGCACTTTGGGGGAGGTAGATCCAGAGCCACAGTCAAGGATTCTTGTTTCCAGTGTGGGCAGTTTGGTCACTGGGCATCCCAGTGCCCTCAGCTGGGTAAGCCTGTGCTGTGGATATTGGGTCATTGCCGCCACTGTAGGGATTGGGGTACTTATGCCCAAACAGAAAGCCCTACCAGCTCTTACCTCTGGTTCAGGTTCCACCCTGACCTTCCAGAAGAAGCGTGGCAAGGATGACACACAGCCCATTCCCACTTTGGAAGTAGCCCAGAGAACAGTTACCACTTCCTGTCACCACTCTGGTGAGTGAGAGGAAGAAGGTGATTATGACCAGTGGCCATCTTGCTAGGATGGTCTCAGTCCATCCTGGAGCTCCCACATCACCCTTTCTTGCCTATCCAAGCAGATAAGGACAGAAAATCTACTGAGCCACAGCTGCAAGTGCCCTATTCCCCTTGTCCAGTGTTGCCCCTCTACCCACCAGGGCCCTTGGGGCAGGTGGCAGGTGAGCAAAAACCTAATTGGTCCAGAATCTCTACTGAAGGGTAGGAAGACTTGGAGCTATGGTGACTGATACCTTTGTTCACAGAGACCCCTGCTGAGGTGTTCCAGGCCCTGGAGCAGCTTGGATACCAAGCCTTCCGTCCTGGGCAAGAACATGCAGTCATGCGGATCCTGTCAGGTAAGTGTGGCTGCCTAGGAACTGGGCCAGGCTGTGTCTATCTGATTTAGCCTCATGGCTGCTTGTTGTCCTGTCCAGGCATCTCCACTCTGTTGGTGCTGCCCACTGGTGCTGGCAAGTCTCTGTGCTACCAGCTTCCTGCACTACTATATGCACAGCGAAGCCCTTGCCTCACACTGGTGGTCTCTCCCCTCTTGTCACTCATGGATGACCAGGTGTGTAAATAAGCCTTTAACTCTCCTCAGCTTGAGAACAGATAGGTCTAATGCCCTTAGGTGCTTCCTTGAACACATCCATGACCAGCTGACCTCTGCTTGAGGTGAGGCACAGCCTAACCCCCAATGTTCACCATCTAGCCTCTAGCTTTAGAGCTCCCAGGGCATAAGTGGCTCTGAATTCTTTCTCCTAGGATCCAGGGTCTGATACTTTTCCTCCTAGAGGATTAAGTAACTGGTAGAATTTGGGTGGGCTGGGCTCGGCTGGGCTAGGCTGTGACAACATTACATCTACAGGTGTCTGACCTGCCCCCCTGTCTCAAAGCAGCCTGCCTCCACTCAGGCATGACCAAGAAGCAACGGGAATCTGTCATCAAGAAGGTCAGGAGGACCCCATGGATAGGAGACAGTGGGCTCCCACACAGGCAGTGTCCCTAACCCTGTTCCCTTCAGGTCCAGGCAGCCCAGGTGCATGTGCTGATCCTGTCCCCTGAGGCATTAGTCGGGGCTGGGGCTAGGGGCTCTGCCAGCCTCCCCCAAGCCAGTCAGCTGCCTCCAGTGGCTTTTGCCTGCATTGATGAGATTCACTGCCTCTCTCAGTGGTCACACAACTTCCGGCCCTGCTACCTCCGTATCTGCAAAGTGAGTTTTGTGGCGGTCAGGATTGGGAGTGGATCAGGGCCAAGGTGTGCTGGGTGGCTCATCACAACCCCTGGTTCAGGTGCTTCGGGAGTGCATGGGTGTGCACTGCTTCTTGGGTCTCACAGCCACCGCCACACGAAGCACTGCCCGTGATGTGGCTCAGCACCTGGGCATAGCTGAAGAGCTTGACCTCTGTGGGCCAGCTACCATTCCTATCAATCTGCACCTTTCCGTGTCCATGGACAGAGACTCAGACCAGGTAGGTGTGTACATATAGGGGCCTAAACAAAAACCTGCACTCTTGGCAGTGCTAACCACTGCTTCTTGTCAGGCTCTGGTAACACTGTTACAAGGTGACCGTTTTCGTACCCTGGATTCTATTATCGTTTACTGCAATCGACGGGAGGATACAGAACGGGTAGCTGCACTCCTCCGGACGTGCCTGTCTGCAGTGAGGGACTCGGGGCAGAAAGGTAAAGCTCATGTAGGGTTTGGCCTCCAGGGATCCCTTCTTCCGCATGTCTGCTGTGTTCCCACCAACCATTTGTCCACCTTTCCCAAAGGTCGTGGCCCTGAGGCTATAGCTGAAGCATACCATGCTGGCATGTGCAGCCAGGAACGCCGGCGAGTACAGCAGGCTTTTATGCAGGGACACCTGCGGGTGGTGGTAGCCACAGTGGCCTTTGGGATGGGGCTAGACCGGCCAGATGTACGGGCTGTGCTACATCTGGGGCTGCCCCCAAGCTTCGAGAGCTACGTGCAGGCTGTAGGCCGTGCAGGGCGTGATGGGAAGCCTGCCCATTGCCACCTGTTCCTACAGCCCCAGGTTGGAACCCCATCTCCCCACACCATCTTAGCCCCAAGGGTTACCTTATACCACTAGTGTTATTCTATCCCCAGGTGCTTGTTTTCCTTGGGGCTACCATTCCAGCCCAAAGTGCTGTGGCTGTGTACACATGACTGCCCCACTGCAGGGTGAAGATCTTCAGGAGTTGCGCAGATATGCGCATGCTGATGGCACTGACTTCTTGGCCGTGAAGAAGCTGGTACAGCGTGTATTCCCACCCTGCACCTGCACCTGGCTGCCCCCAGGAAAAGAAGGAGGCATCAACGGGTTGAAGTCTATGACCAAGTCCCCACCTCAGGAGGCCAAACAGAACAGTGACCACCACACAGCTCCAGTACTGGCCCAGGCTTGCCTGGGCCATAAGCGGGCACTCCCAGTGCAATCAACAGTACAGGCTCTGGACATGCCAGAGGAAGGTAAGGAGCTAGGGCCATGGGGTTTGGGGAGTTGTCCCCACAACCCTTGAGCTTTCCTCTGCCTTCAGCCATTGAGACTCTGCTGTGCTACCTGGAACTACACCCACAGCGCTGGCTAGAACTGCTGCCATCCACTTATGCCCACTGCCATCTGCACTGCCCTGAGGGCCATGCCCAGCTGCAAGCCCTGGCCAATAGGTGAGCATATCTCACCCCAGACCAAAAATAAAAACAAAAACAGAGCTGCTGGCCACATCACACTTTGCTCCCTGGGCACAGGTGTCCCCCTTTGGCTGCATGCTATGCCAAGTGGCCACCTAAAGACACAAGTCAGGGAAGCAGCTCCTTAGAGTTTGACATGGTGGACCTAGCAGACTCAATGGGATGGGAGCTGGCCTCTGTACGGCGGTATCTCCACCAGCTGCAGTGGAACCAAGAGCCAAGGACAGGTATGCCCATCCCTACCCCAGCCTGGGCTCTGTTAGCCACCCATCCACAGGTGTCTGACACACTTTCTGATAGGTGCACCACAGAGCACAGGGGTGCTTGTGGAATTCAGAGAGCTGGCCTTCCACCTGCACAGCCCTGGGGACCTGACAGCTGAGGAAAAGGATGAGATCTGTGACTTTCTATATAGCCGTGTGCAGGCCCGTGAACACAAGGCCCTGGCCCATCTTCGCCAAATATCCAAGGCCTTTCGCAGGTGGGAAAGAGTAGACAGAGCCTAGACCACCCACTCTGACCCCATGGGCAACTCTTGACAAGCTTTTATCCCACTCCCAGCGTGGCTTTTCCTAGTTGTGGACCCTGTCTAGAGCAGCCTGATGAGGAGCGCAGCAATCAGTTGAAGATGTTGCTGAGTCGTTACTTTGAGGAGGAAGAGGAAGCAGAGGAGAATGAGGAGAGCACAGAGCCTGGGCAGGCCCAAGTGAGTACAGCCCCTCTGGGGACGATTCCTAAGCCTAAGAACAATGGCATACCCACACACAACTCTGACCCCACAGTCTAGCCCCTGCAAGGCTCAAGGATTCCTAGTCTGCTTGGGTGTGGATTTTTAAGACACAATGCCATTGATACTCAGAGGAAGTTATATGCCATCCACCCACAGCTCCAAGACTGGGAGGACCATATTCGCCGTGATATCCGCCAGCTCCTGTCCCTGAGGCCAGAGGAGAGGTTCTCGGGCAGAGCTGTGGCCCGCATCTTCCACGGCATTGGTGAGAGCCAAGGTCTGCGTGAAGTAGGCAGGTGCTGGGGGCTGTAACCACCTGAGTCCTCAGGCTTGTGTTTCTGTTCCATCATAGGAAGTCCCTGCTATCCCGCCCAAGTGTATGGGCAGGACAGGCGCTTCTGGAGAAAGTATCTACACCTGAACTTCCATGCCCTGATGCGCCTTGCCACAGAGGAGCTCATGCTGTGGGGCCGATGACCACCCTACATACGAGGGTACTGCATCATGGAGGCATGAGGCAAGCCAGGCTGTGGCCACTACACACTAAGGTGTCAGGTTCAGCTGTTCACCAATGATGCAGCCATCATTGACCACTAGATAAAACCTGCGAACTGCAATGTGGGGCCAAAGAAGATCCAAAATGCAAAATAAAAAGCAATCAAGTCATTTTATGTCCTTTCTGGTGACACTGCCCTGAGCCTGCTGTGCTCCAGACATACAGGCCAAAGCACTCTTGGCTTTATTGACAGTCTTGACACCCATTTCAGGCCAGGGTGTTGGGTGCCAGGCCCAGCTCCAAAAGGGGAAGAGCTGAGAGTGCAAGGAAGAGAGCATAGCAGAGATGTGGGCCCAGGCCATCAGCCAGCACTCCAGCCAGGGTGCCTGGCAGCAGCTTGCCCAACAGTTCCAGAGTAGCCAGGAGGCTGTAGTGAGTGGCCTGGGAGTGGTAATACTCATTAGTGCCTAGTAGCTCCCCAGTCCTGCAGCCCCTGGGCATCCCTGCCCTGTGCATTTACCTGCAGGGTTCTGGGCGCCAACTGGCTGCAGTGCATCATCACAGTGAAGGTACCAGTGGTGACCAAACCCCCTAGGAACTGCTGTAGACATAGGCTCAGCAAAGCTGCCCCTGGGAAGACAAAGGTCGGTAGAGCTCCAGGCTTGTGGCCGCTCCCTCTTTCCTCAAAGCCAACTCCCTTACCTCGCAAGACTGTGCCAGGGTCCAGGCTGGCCCCTGGGGTGTTCAGATGGAAGAGCAAGGCAGTCTGGAAGGCCAAACCCCCAAGGCGAAGCTTCAGCACTGACTTCAACAGGGACAGCGGCTGCCTGGAGTGAGAGGGGAAGCAGGACATACAAGATTTCTGGGAGATCATGGTGGAAGTGAGCGTCAGATTGTGCTTGGGGGTGCTTACCAGTGTCTGGCCAGTAGGGCCCCACCCAGGGAGGAGCCAGCAATGGAACAGGTCACAGCCCCCAAGCCACTCCACAGCCCCAGATCTGAGGCAGAAGCACCATGGTCCAACAGGAAGAGTGGAAACAGGCTTCCAGCACCCTGCTCACCTACAGAAGACCAGAAGCAGGGATGGTTCCCTTCTCCCCTCCAACCAGCCAGACCCCTCCTCTGTCTCATTTTCATGGGCCCTAGATGTTAGGAGACAACGGGACAGCATTTTTTGCCAGACTCAGTCAGTTGAAAACAATATCAGCAATACCAAGGAGTTGTGGCTGGAGTTGAGGGAGGCCAAGAGGTGAGGCAAAGCCAGGCTTCAGAACCCTGGGTGACAGGGCTGGGCTGGGCTCATACCCCAGAAAACGCAGTCCCTTAAGTGGATTTCAGAGAAGCCCCTGGGGACCAACCTGAAATTAAGGCTCAAGCCCTCCTGTTTCTTCACTCACCCAGCTTGTAGGAGAGCACAAAGCCTGATGTCCAGAGGGTCCCAGGCACAGCCAGCAAATCATGTAGAAGATGGGAGGTGTGAGGGGTGTGCTCTGCCGCCTGAGGCCAGGGCATCTGGCCCAAGGCTGGTGCAGCCCAGGCTAAGGCAGCAGCCAGCCAGTAGGTGGCAGCTAGGAGCAAAAAAAACAGTGGCCAAGAGAGGGTGGGAAAGAGGACTAACAGCCCACCCCCAGCCAGTGCTGCCCCTAGCTTGTAAGCCACCACCTGCACAGTGTTGCCTGGTCCCAGCTCCCTTGGCTTCAGAAGCTGCACAGCCAGTGTGTCCAGAGCCACGTCTTGCACGGCTGCACCCAGGTTCAGCAGCAGTAGCAGCCCCGCCAAGGTGATGGGCAGCCCTACCTGGCCAGCTTGCGGGGGAGGAAATGCGGCCAGCAATCCACACACCAGGCCCAGGGTCGCGGTGCTGAGCGTTAGCCAGGCCCGCGGGGAACCTCGCCTGTCCACCAGTGGCGCCCACGCCAGCTTTAACAGCCATGGCGCATACAGTCCCTTGGTCAGGCCCACACGTGTCAGGGAGAAGCCACGGGCCCGCAGCAAGATGGGCAGCAGACCAGACTGCAGCCCATAGGGCAGGCCCTGCACAAGATAGAGGCCGGCCAGCGGCAGCAGCTTCCCATGCATAGCCAGGGTGCGGGGGACGCGGGCGGCTCCGACTGGGAAATTGGGCTCCAGGTGGAGTCTGGGAGGGGCTGGTCCATCTGCATGTGGTCAGGGCCAATCAGGCCGGGGTCCAGACGTGCACGCAGACAAAAGTACGGAAGTTGGAGAAAACGCGGAGCTAGAGACCCGCCTTCCGGCGGCCTGGGCCTTAAGTACGCGCAGCCCGCTGCTCCCAGCGTGCTTTGCGCAGAAGTCAGGGCAGGGGGGAGGGGAGGGGCTTCTCTGGTCCGGGGTGGAACTTCTGTTCTGGGGCAACCTCCACCTTAGTCCCGCTTCCTGATCAAGACAGTTGGCCGCAAGCCCACAGCCAACAGCCCCAAGCGCCCAAAGGTCACTCTGGCCACAGACACCCCAGCAGACCCAGAACATCGGCTGTGGCGTTCCCAGAAGCCAACTTGGGCTTAACAGCCCGCTGCTTGTGCTCCTGGCCCTCTGAGCATCTGGGAAGGAGTTTGTGTGAAAGATCAGGACGCAGCTACTACCTGTGAAACACCCTTCTCTTGCAGTGGTAGGAGAACCTGGCTAGTCCAGAGCCCACATGACTGGCCCTGCTAGCAAGGCCCATGTCCAGTCTTTCCTCCTACCCAGCACTGTGTTCGCCCAGGTTCCCAAGGTCAAAATAAGGCTGTGAAGTTAGGCCTTGGGTTAAGAACTGACTCCAGAGTGGACAGCTCTGGGTGCTTTGGTTAGCCCTGTGTGAGCATTCTGGTATCGCATTTTTTCTTTTCCACTAAGGGGGTGGGAGGTGTCCTGTCACTTCCAGAGAGTCTCAGGACCTGAGTTTTCTTATCTATAAAATGGATACTATTTTCGAGCAGATTAGTGAACACCTGTAATCTTAACTACACTCAGGAGGCTGAGGAATCATGAATTTAAGGCCAACCTGGACAACCGAGTGAGACCCTGTCTCAAAGCTGAAAAAGGGCCTGGAGTGGTGGCGCAGTCCTTTAATCCCAGCACTCGGGAGACAGAGGCAGGCAGATCCCTGTAAATTCAAGTCCAGTCTAGTCTACATAGCCAATTCCAGGTCAGCTGGGGGCTACAGGGAGACCCTGTCTCAAAAAGACCAAAAAAAAAACCAGCTGGAAAAAGGGTGGGGGGGGGTATATGTAGTTCAGCGGTCCTAGGTCCAATTCCCAGGACTACAAGTATCTTTTTTCAGGGTGGGGCCTTTTTGATACATTGTCTCCTTGTAGCTCCAGCTGGCCTGGAATTCACTATGCAGACCAGGCTGGCCTTGAATTCACAGATTTCCACCTGCCTCTGCCTCCCGAGTTCTGGTATTAAAGGCATCCCCCACCACATTCAGCCATATCTTCCTTTTACAAAACGGGGAGGGGAGGTCTGTCATTGCCTACCTCAGAGGAATACTGCAGACCAAACAAGTAAACCATAGCAGTGTCTACTGTGCACACAGAAAGTGCTCATCCCTTCTTGAGCACTGCCCCCACCCCTTGGATGTTTCCTTCCATTAGCCCCCTGCAACCAGGGCCCCTAAGGCTGGTTTGCAAAAGAACCACTCCTGTTCTGTTCCCACGTGGGGACCAGCCTTCCTTAAGCCCTTGCCTCTTCACTCCTGCCTTGGTTGTCACCCTGCTCAGCAGCTCCACCCTGTGGTTGGCATAGGGACAGAACAAGGGACATATTTCTGTCTCAGGAAAGGCTACTATTTCTAACGTGGTCCTTCTGGGACTTCTCCTCCTGGAATCCCCTGTAACCTCATGTCCTCCCAGGTGGATCTGGGGTAGCCCTAAGAGGCAGAGAGGTCCATGTCTGCCTTCATACTCCTTACTAGTATGTCAACTGATTTTTATATAAATGGTCAGCATATGACCCACACTTGAGACTACAGTGAAGACCTAGCCCACGTATGCACCTGTCTCGAGGAAAGATGGATGGATGACAGCCTGAAGGGCCCTTCTCTGGGAATGCTGGAACCCTCCAGGATGAGGGGTCTAATGTCCCTCAAGTGAGGTCCTTAAGCCTATACAGTAGCCTATACAATAGCAGTCAGGTAGGTCAAAAGCTGGGGTCATCCATGCATTCACCTCCAGGGTCAGACCAGCACCCAGCTTTATTATGGACCTGCAAGGGGCAGGTGCCCACACTGCAGGCAAAAAGCAGCAAGTCCTGAGGATTCCCTCAGCTTGTTCAGTCAGGGGCTGTCCAGTGTGGTCTCAGCAGTGGCCTCAGAGTACTCATGGGTGAACTTGGCATGGAAACTCCTCAGTTTTTCCAGCAGCAACTGCAGCTTCTCCATAGGGGGTAGAATCGTCATCCTGAAAAGGGCAAGCAGTAAGCCAGGGCACAGGCTTGACTGTAGCAGAGGCAATGTGCACCAAGCCTCACCGAAAATGGTAGGTGCCCTCTTGCTGCCCAAAGCCACTCCCAGGCACCACACAGATGCCAGTTTCCTCCAGGAGGCGCAGGCAGAAGAACATGTCAGGGGCCAGGCCAAGTTCCTGAAGGTCAGGACAGTGGTCAGGTCACAGAACCCAGGCCCCACAATCTACTCAGCCCCTACAGGACCCTGTAACCCTCACCTGAGCACATTGCACTGCACGTTGGGGCAGCTCCACTCGTGGGAAGGAATACATAGCACCCTGTACTGGGTTGCAGCGGATGCCAGGAGCCTTGTTGAAGACCTGCTCAGTGAGCTTGGCCTTGGCTGCTAGCTGAGCCAGCACCTCCTGCTTCTCCTGTAAGCCGGGGATTGAGCAGGGTGGGGAGGGTGGAAGAGGGTGAGGAAGGTCAGGGACTCGACGTGCCCCCCCCATCCCCAGCTGGGTCACCAGACGTCCTTGGCCTAGTCTGTTCTGCTCACTGTCTGAAACTGCTTGAAGGATGGGTCAGAAGGCATGGGTGGGCTGACCACCATGTCCAGCAGGGCCTGACCCGGAACCGGTGGGCACAGCCGCACACTCATTAGTTTCCCCATCTGCCGCTGCACCTCGGTATCCATGTTTACCACCTCCACATAGCCACCGCGGAATCCACACCTGCCAGGGAAGGCATGTGTTGGGCTGGTCTGGGAAGAGTGCCCTGGGAGGGAGATCGAGCCAGGGCAGGGGGAGGGGTCCAAAAAGCCCCACCATCCTCACCTCCACCCCCGCCTATACTCACTCGCCCATGTAGCCCTTAGAGGCTGAGTGGAAAGAAGCAAGCTCCTGCTGCGTTGCATATGGAGGTCCCATCTCCATGAGCACCTTCTTGAATGAATGGAACTGGGAGCCCTCAGCGTACACGTTGTCCTGGTACACCTATAGGGGGGCAGTGTCATTCAGGCTGGCTGCTGCGGCTGCTGCCCTCCCATGTGTGCCCCCGTCCGCACCTCATCAGCCATCAGGAAGAGCCCCTCTTCAAAAGCAAAGCGGATCACGGCCTCGATGCACTCACGTGTCTGCACCTGCCCTGGAGTGTGAGATGAAGCACTGACACCGGCAACCAGGAACAAAGCCGGGCGCCCCATCCCAGATGCACTGGAGGCAGGGCAGTTGGGGCAGGATGGGGCGGGATTAGCGGGGAGGGGCGGGACTAAATGGGGGAGGCGGGTCAGACAGGAGGCGCACCGGTGGGGTTGCCAGGGTTGATGACGCAGAGCGCGCGAGGGCAGCAACGGTCACGTGCCTGGCACAGAGCGCGCCGCAGTTCCACCGGGTCGAGAGCCCAGGCGCGCTCTTCATCCAGGTAGTAGTCCACCTGCACAGCGTCCAGTTCAGCCAGCGCAGCCGAGTAGAGTGGGTACTGAGGGATGGGAATGAGCACGCCCGTGCGCTTATGGCCCTCACCCGCCACCAGCAGCTTCAGTACTGTCTGTGAGCGGATAAGGAGCACAAAACCACAGTGTTAATGTGGCTAGGGTTTGTACTCTATCGTCCCACCCCCGCCCGCTCAGGGCGCCACTGCACCAGACTGAGCCAGGCCAAGTCGCACACATAGGGCCACTGTGTCCTGCCCTGGGCCAGCCTACCACGATGGCGTCGCTGGCCCCCGTGGACAGGAAGATGTTATTCGGGTCTGCGGGGATGCCTCCATCTCGCCTTTGTATATACTGCGCCACGTCCTCCCGGATCAGCTGGATGCCAGAGCTTATGCTATAGGCCCCTGGATCCATGGGTAGCAGAGAGGTTGGCGAGTGCTGCATTCCCACCAAGGGACCTGCCCGTCTCTGCTCCTCTCAGAGGCTTAGACCCCATATGGAACTGGCACTCACCCAGGCTTTGGCCCCCGCATGCCTGCAAAATACGCTCTGCCCTTCTTTTGGTGTCTTCTGGGAAGTCAGGACTACTCAGAAGATTAGGGTGGACACAGAGGGCCAGGACCTGGGAAGACCATGGACTGAGGCCAGGGCACTTTGGCGGAAGGGAGATGACAATAGGCAGTACAAGCAGCCTCACCTGGCGAAAGAAGGTGATGGGCCTCTGCCCCATGGCGTGTGCGTCCCCAATATTGGCACGAATGACCTCAGTGAAGGGCTTCTTCACACCCTTGGAAAGGGGAGTAGGCAGTGAAATTGGGCAGTACCGTCCTACTGCCTTTGCCACACATTCCACTGAGCTAGGGACTAACTCAGCAACCCGGGGCAGAAGGGCAACAGTGGCCCAGAGTGATACCTGGCGCAGCTCCTGTTCCAGCTCCAAGGCACGCTGCACTATGGGTCCTCGAACAGCATACTCCACACGCAGTACACATGGGTTCATGGTATCCAGCGTTAGCACCTTCCGCTTCGGCCCATTCCTTGCAGCCAGGCTCTGATCATTTACTACTGAAGCCATGACTCCTCAAACCAGGAAGGATAAGTAGCTTAGGAGGCAGCAGAAGGGTCCAGATGGGGAATCAGGGCTGGAGGTAGGGAGCCTGCATATGGTAAGACAGCACCCTCTTCACTTCTGCCTGCTAGCCCTACTGAAAGGGATAGAAAAGCCTGAAGGAGCTGGAGCAGCCTGGGCCCCGCCCTACCGGTCTGGGCACAGTTCTACCCCAGGGAGCCAGAGGGAGTGGGTAAGGCAGCAGGCGGGGCTTGGGGCGAGGCCCAGTGCCGCCCAGTGTCCCCTGTGACAGAGTAGGATACCCACTAGGGGGTAGGGACACTCGGATGGTTCAATAACTGACACACTGGCAGCTGGGAGAGGAGAGTCCTCTGCAACTGGGCCTAATAATGGAGCCAGGGACTAGTGGAGACTTACCCCAACAAGGCCCAGTTGAGCTAGCCCTATGAGACACCCCCGTCTTTACTTAGGCCAATGGACTTGTCTCCTAGGTAACTAAAACAGGCCTTAGGAATCTGGGGAGCATTGGGGGAGGGGGAGGGAGTTTAGTCACTGGGTTCTATATATGATAAAGGAAGGAGAGTGCTATGGTTGGACCTTGGTCCCTGATGACTACTCAAGGGTTTAGAGGGAAGGGAAGGGACTGGAGACAGGACAGCCAGTCCTGAACCCTCTGACACCTCATCTTGAGTTGCCCTCATGCCCTTTTAATACACATCAGCCAGAGGGTGCCCTTAAGGCCACACTCCAGGCCAAGAGTGACCTAAGTTCCCTTCCCTCTTGTTCCTGATTGGTAGAGAGTAGGAAGTAAGCTGTGATAGGTCCTTAGAGCCCCACCCTCCAGGCCTTGCAGGAAGCCTAAGGGCTATGCTCCACATTGGTCAGCTAAGTCCCTGAGGGACTTGAAGCTCAGGGCTGGGGACATCTGAGCTGGGCAGCAGGAAGCTAGGCAGGTCTGAGGTGAGTCTTTGTCCCTGTGTCCCTGAAGTCTGGCAGAAATGGCACAAGCACCCCTGTACTGAATACACACTCACCTCTCGCCTCTTACCTCTACTACAGCAGTCTCCCAGCTCACTTGGCTTCTCTCTGGCCCTCAGGCCCTCAGGCCAGAGCACAGATTAATATAGGCTTGGCCCAGGCAGAATCAGCCACTGTGGCCCTTAGCAATAGGGCCCAAATGGCAGCAGTGGCAGCCGGTGGACTTCAGACAGCTGCATCACGCCACTCTAAATTTAACCAGCAGCCAGCTCTTCCAAGGACACCAACCTTCTAACCACAGATACTAGAAGAAGGGTAGGTCCTGGGGACACTGAGGTCATAGGAGGGGAGAGTGGCCCAAATCTGTGTCACCTGATATTAATGGCCATGCAAAGCTAAATGCAATGGATATGATATGGAATTGCCTTCTTCCCTCCAGCTTGAGGCCCCTAAGGGGCCCCCTTTCACTCTGATGTATTGTGCCTAGCCAGCACAGCCTGCATGGCCAACTGCTTGTCACCTATACCAGTGTAGGCAGGGAACTGGCAGACAGGCCCCAAGATCAGGGCCACATGCCAGGAACTAGGACCCATAGGCCTAGGAAGTGCCTAATGCCAACCTTCTGCCTCTTTTACCCTGCTGGCTCTAGCCCAGTCCTGTCAAAAACACTGTGTCCCTTCTAGCCAGAGTCCTTGTCCCTCTGCTTAGTTATCCACAGCCTTACCCCAAAACAGTCTTCTTTCAAAGTACTCTGTTGTTTCAGTAAAACAAAGGGGTACAGAGGCACCTCAAAGAAGCTGAACACAGCTGGGGAAGGCTGGGGTGAAGACTGGGTTTTCTGCCTGTGGCCCTAGGCCTCCCTCCTACAAAGGCTGGGGCTGCCAGCTGCAAGCCCCAGCGTGCATCTACAGGCCGACTCGGTGCTCCTGGGCATGGGTGGTACCTAACCCAGCAGCACTACCTGCCCCTCCCCAGCGAGACACACAGGAAGGCTCAGAGGCAAACAGCCTTTATCAAGAGTCACAGGATAAGCACTCTACAGCTGGAGAGGCCTGCAGGTACGACTCTGCATGGTCCATCCCTGAGCAAGGTGGCCAGTGTCCTGGGCTGAAGTGGGAAAGGGGCGACCCTGTGTTGGCTCCCCTACAGCACTAGGGCATGTACTGGGGTGGGCCTCTGGCTGGCCATGGGGATTGGATCCTGCCAATCTGAGAAATGGCCCTTCACATAAGCAGACAGCATGGCCTCTTCTCCACAGGAGCCTCCTCTGAGGGGGCTGTGAGCTTGAGTAAGGGTGGGTCCCCAGCTTCTCTTAAGCCACAGTCAGGCTGGGAGGTCTCAGTGTCAATAGGCAAGCCAGGCTCGAAGGTCTCAGGCCCCTCAGGGGCAGGTCGTTGAAGCTTTGCAGCTGCTCGCTGGCGCTTAAGCTCTGCCAGGGTGTGGTGGGCCTTGTCCCGGATGAGGGCATCAGGGTCACTGCTCTCTGAAGGACTCAGCTGATAGGAGACACTCCGGTCTAGACGCTTGGAGTACAGGTGCCGCCCTGGGGGGAGCCCTATTCGGCCATTGTGTGGCCTGGCCACCTCAGGGCTGCCTTCCTGTGGGCAGAGCCAGGATGCAGAGGCCATCAGAAGGTGCTATTTTTTACCTGCACTAGCCTTGGGCTTCAGGTTGTGTGAAGTGGTGGTGGAAGGACAGACATAAGGGGTGAGAGGGTCAGCAGCCTATCTAGGAATATGAGGTCACTGGTCCTACCACCTCCACAAGGGTCCAGTTAGGACAGAGAACCAGGTACTAAAGCCAGACCACATGCCAAGATCACTACAAAGCTGGGACAGTACAGGGGCTAAATGCTCACTTCTGGGGGCTGCAGTTGGAGCTCAGCATCTGTCTGGCGGTCCTCGTCCTCTAGAGGCTCTGGGCTGGGAAGTGGTGGCTGTTGCCACACGATGGCCTCTTGGGCATGCTCCTTGCGGTACAGGTTGGTGCGTTGTGTCAGGCTCACTCGCCTCACCACCTTCCTGGGGAAGAAGGCAACAGAGGTCATCACCCATCCCACAACCTCTGCCCACAAATCCTGAGGCTGGGGCTCCCCCCCCCCCCCCCCCCCGCCCCAAACCAACCAAGCAAAAGTCAGACTTCGCTGAGGGAAGTAAGATTATCCTCTAGAGAAGCCTTAAAGATGATCATATCACCAGCCCCCACTGTCGTGCAGATGGTCGTGTCAACACTCCCCTCTGACATGTAGATGGTCGTGTCACCTGCCCCATCTGACATGCAGATGGTCCTGTCACCTGCCCCCTCTGACGTGCAGATTGTTGTGTCACCTGTTCCCTCTGAGGTGTAGGTGGTTGTGTCATCTGCCCCATCTGACGTGCCGATGGTCATGACACCTGCCCTCTCTGACGTGCACATGGTCGTGTCACCTGCCCTCTCTGACATGCACATGTTCGTGTCACCTGCTCTCTCTGCGGCGACCAGCGCCACTCCCCCCCCCCCCCCCCCCCCCCCCAAAACCCTAGGCGGGGGCCCCCCCCCCCCCCCCGCTAGCTGACACCCACAGGGGAAAAGCCTGGGTCACAGATGGTGGCTGGGTGGTGACTTGCAGCGGGGGGCTCACCCACGACTGCCTGCACTGGAGGTGCGACGGCGCAGCAGGGAGCGCTGGCGGCCCTGGGCCCGCAGGAGTGCATCCTGCTTGTGCTTCAGCTCTAGCAGTTTTGCTCGCACTTCCTCATCACCACACACATCTGAGGAGAGATGTGTACAGCTGTTACTATATCTTCGTGGCCTATCCCTTCTGCCAGATGGAGGCAACTCCCACACTCACCAAGGGGTGTCTCGTCCACCAGGGATTTTCCATTCAGATCAGCCCCATGTGCCACGAGCAACTCTACCAGGTGCACCTGCAGGCAGCCAGCAGGAGCTGCTTTAAGGAATCTAGCTGGCTCCAGGAGCCCACTCTCTCCCTGCTCCTATGTACACTCACCTGGCCCCAGTAGGCTGCAGCATGCAGAGGCTCCCAGCCATCACGGTCCTTAGAGCTCAGGCTGGCTCCTTGCTCCAGCAGCAGGGTAGCCACCTCACTGAACCCATTAGCAGCAGCAATGTGCAACTGTAGGCAGATCACCCAACCCTGAATCCCAGCCCCACACCCTTTCCAAGCATCCCCACAAGGATGGATACTCCAAAGTAGCTGAGTCCTCACCAGAGTGGCCCCATGGTCCAATGGGTCACTGAGGTTAGCCCCAGTATGCAATAGGCTCCGGAGGTCATCCAGCATGCGTAGCTCTGGCACTGCTCGGGCCTCCTCAATGCTGTCCTGGGTGATACCTGAGGGGCAGCTAGCTCAGAGACAGCACGACCAGGCACCCACCCCTTGGAGACAGGTACAGCACACTCACCACGGTTGGCCATGGCAGTCTCAAGGCAGTCCAGTGTCTGCTCATCCTCACACAGGTCATAGGGCATGTTCCCATCAGTGTTGACTGCCAGGAGATCTGCACCACTGTGAGGACAGACAAGCCACAAACCTCAGGACCCTTCTTCATGCACCAGCTCCTTACTCAGATGTCTTCTGTCCCTTTGCAGCAAGTCTCCCCTCTACAGAGGCCCTCAGCCTAGGATTACTTTTAGGAAGGGAGAATAGGCAGGAGGAAAACTAAACTCTAGCTTCCACCTGGACAGCTGACCATTCCTCAGCCCTAGATCCTGTCCTAGACCAAGCTAGATTCACTATCCTGTAGTTTCTATCCATCTGGAGTTGAGGTTTATGATACCCATCTACTCCCATAAATACTGTAGAGACACTTCAGGGGATGTGCAACGCCTAGGGGGTAAGGGTGGGGGTCAGAACACAGAAGGAGTACTCATGCATGATATAGGAACAAAACTAGAGGCTGTCTACAGTCCACCACCAGTTCCCAGGGGAGCCTCAGGGGCCTTCCAGCTATACGCCTTCATTCCATTGCCAAGGCACCTGTTCACATAGGATGGCCAAGTCCCTATCCTCTTATCTACTAGAGAGGTCCCTAATCTGGTGAAGCCACCAACCTCCTCTGTTCTACCTTCCTTGTTAGAAGTAAAGGCCTCACCTATACCCAGGCACTTCCTCCTAGGTCCATCTGGTATCTCCATTCCCCTTCCCTCAATTTTTCCATCCAGACCCTGGTGAGGCTCTTGGTCCAGAGTTGGAAGTCTAGCCTCCCAGACAGGTCAAAGAGCATACAGAACACACTATTCCCCCTAGGGTCCAAGGCAGGGTTGAAAGAGGAGGTAGGGACACAAAAAGCATCCCAGAAGGGTCACCTGAGCCACACCTGACAGATACCCAGCAAGTCCTACCAGGAAATAAGGAGTTCCACTAGGTGCAGATGGCCACAGGTAGCTGCAGCATGCAGAGGTGTCCAGCACTCACTGTCACAAGCGTTGACATCAGCCCCAGCTTCCAGGAGTTGCTGTGCCATCTCTTGGAAGTCATCAATGCAGCACTGCAAACAAGCAACCTGAGCCCCCACATCCCCCTAACCAAGCTGGGCTAGCCAGCCCCACCCCATTTGTACATGGACTTACCTGGTGTAGTGCAGTCAAGCCATCCTCATTGGCCAGGTTGGGGCTAACTCCACTACTGAGGAACTGGTGCACTGCAAGAAGAAAGAGGTAAGTCTGGGAAAGGTCTGGGACTGGTCTGTACTGTCCTTGGCCCAAGGACACCTAGGCCTGCTCTGTGCCCAGGCGTCAGGGAAGGATAAATAAGAAGGGTACAGATGGCAGGAGGCAGTGTGTGGCCATCTGCCCCAAGTGGGCAACACACATGGCAGCCCCTGCCCCTTCCATGTCATAGCATCAAACCCTTCGGACTCTACAACAGGCCCCTCTGTAGGTACGGCTTGTCGGTAATCCCATGCTTTACTCCCTGCCCCACAGCTGCTGCAGCCTGGAGTATTGGGACAGGAGACAGAAGACTCTGCCTAAGGGTCCTGTCCATCCCAGCACAGGGCACATCCATTCTTATTCTTCACTTGTGACAAGACCCAGCCCCACAAGCTGTGCTCACCCAGCCCTCTCTCCCCTCCAGAGGCTCCACCTCAGGCTGAAGCTCTTGCCAGTCAATAGGGTCCTCCCCAGCCATGCAGCATGACATGACCTCCTTCCCACAGCCCTGAACTTGGCCTGAGGCACACCTACAGCTCCTGTCTAGGCCCTGCTAACTTCTCCTCGTCTTCTGCCCCAGAGGGAGGCAGGAGGGGTTCTCAAGAGACACCAGATGTCTCTTCCTCCATCCCCTGGAGTTGTAGGAGTAGGGCACAGGAAAGAAAAAGGGGCTTTCCATACAATTAGACCTGTCTTGGAGCCAGGTAGAGTCCAGTGGAAAGGAGAGTCAAAGGCAGGACCTGGGGCAGCATGAAGTCGAGCCTGCCTACGTGTACAGTAGGACCCACCCTGGCCCTTGCCAGCCCTGCTGTCTCTAAGGAGAGGTGAGTATTGCCACCCCACACTCCAAGATGATTAGGACCCAAGCATAAAGGGACAAGGATTCACAGTAACCCTACACTCTGGCAAGAGGCAGTAAGGGCCATCAATGAAGCTAAGTGCTATTCAACTCCTCTGCAAGCCCCTGTGGGTCTGTTGTGTGGTTCAGCCCTCCCACAACCTGACTTGTGTCATAGCAGAACCTCCTGCATGCAACCTCACTTAAGGACAAATGACCATTATTGGTAGGAGAGCTGGGGCTAGAGCCCAAGAGCTGCAGACAGGCCTAGGACCCAACACAAAGCAGGGCCACACCCAAACAGAAGGGAGTGCCTGCTATGTTCTGCCCTGAGACTCAAGCATACTCACCTTCTTCCAGGTCGTTCCGGGCAGCAGCCTCCAGAAGGGCAATGCTGGGAGGGAAAAGGACCTGCTTCCGTGGCCTGAGACCTGCCACCTCCTTCCATGGTCCCTCCCTGCGGCTCTTCTTGCCCTGGGCCTCCTTCTCAGCCTGGGCCCACATCTTCACCTGCTGGGCACGTCGCTTCTGGGCATGCTTTAGTCGCTCCTGGGTGCTCATCCTGCTCACCATGGGCATCTCTGCCAGCAATTCCAGGTGCTCGGCCATGGTGGGAAATGTCTGCCCACAGGGCTGTTTGAGGTACCACGGTGGGGACTTGGGGGGCCAGGCCAGGCCTGAGGGGTAGGGCAGCTGGCTGGACTGGCACCCTTGGGGGCATCCCCTTCCCAAGACTTGGTGCCCTCTGTTCTTTGCAAGGCTGAGATAGGAGGCACCACACTGTGACCAGGTCCAGTTGCCCTAAGGAGTAAACCCCAGGTGGGGAGGGCAGTGTGTGTTGGGGGTAGGGGGAGTGCCTGCAGTCTTTCCCCAGGCAGGACTGGCACCTCAACTGCTCAGCTGGCAGGGCTTCTGTACTCGGTGCCTCGCCTTCCACTTGGGGTCAGGGTGCACAGCCTGTGGGAAGTAGCCTGAGACCTGGCAGGCCTCAGTTCAGGGTCTGAAGCTAATTACCCAGATAACAAAGTTCCAGTTTCTTGGCACCCTGCCAAGGGGAAAGGAAAGCAGGACCAATCAGCAGCAGGCTCCTGGGAGCCCCTGGGAGCCTCTGTTCTCTTTCCATGCTGGCTGTCCTCAGTCCTCTGCCAGGTTTTCTAGTCAGCACAGTAAAACAGCCAATGTGGTATGGCAGTAGAGGTCAGGGTGTATAGTCAGTTCTGGGGTCCTAGCTTCCAGTGTCCGATGATGGCAATCTCTAGGAAACTAGGACATGGAGGTAACAGGAGGCCTGTCAATATGTTCTCAGGGGAGCCTCCCTTTCCGTCAGTCACACACACCTGAGAAGTAAATAAGAATAAGGAAACACATCAAGGCCAGCTCATGGGCAGGACAGGAAGGCTCCTGGGCAGCCCTATGTGAGATCCATCCTCTGCTACCAGCATATCCTGGGGAATTCCTCTGCCTTACTCTTTCCCATACACTTAAGGAAGAACGGGCCAATGGGCATCTCAGGCCCCTACCCATCCTTTATAAAAGGGCTATAAATAGTGGGAAAGCCTACTCCCAGACAGGCTATCATGGGCCATCACAGGGCTAGGTGCTGTGTCCAGGCTGGCTGTGTGAGGTCTCTCCCTGGCCTCTGTAGGGATGGCCCAAGGGCTTGATATGTCCTGCGTCCTGGGTACCTTATGGTATAGCATCCAGCATGTTCCTCATAAAGAAGCCAACTGAGACCAACCAATATTTTGGCCATCCTGATCTGCACTAAGCTGAAATCATATGGACACAGGCACAGGAGGGCCCCTCTGGCATGGAGTCATCAAGGATTGACAGGCAAATAGCACACAACCATGTGATGGTGTGCCTGTCCCAGGGCCCGCTCTGCCCAATGCCCAGAAACACTGATTTTTGTTTATGGCCAGGTTCTCAGAAACTAAGAGCCATACCCTACCAGTGAAGGCATGCCCAAACCCCTATTCTCACAGACCACCCTCACTGACATCTAGAAAATAGTCCTTTCCTCTAGCCATACAGGTACACAGGGGTCTTAGTGGACACCCATTTCTGTCAAGAAAGGAACTACAAGAAGGTAACATTTAGTTAGGTCCCTCTTGAGACCTGAGATGTACTTCACAGCTAAAACTCACCCAAGCCAAATGCCTGTGCACCTGGCCTGAGGTTCCTTGGGGACAGTAACAGCTGGGCCCTCAGCCTCTGTCCTGCACATTCTTCAAGTCAAGAGCTTTCCCAGGAGCATTCTTCCTCTATAGAGCACAAAGACCAGTACAGATATTATAGCCAACACCCTACCCAGGCTTTCCATCCAAGGTACCCAGTATGCCCACCCAAGATAAGCTAACCAGGTACACAGACACTCTGCAAGCATCTCTGTGTGAGGATATGGAGGGTCCAGAACCCACTGGGATGGTAGTGTCCTCCAGCCATCCCTGCTACCATTGTGATAGACACCCTCCTTCCTGCCTAACAAAACTGGTGAGGGGGAGCCTAGACTTCTCAGGGACCAGCATCCTGCCAGAGAAAATTTAAGAGATGTCTCCCTTGCTGGGCGTGGTGGCACACACCTTTAATACCAACACTCAGGAGGCAGAGGCTGGCGGATCTCTATGAGTTGAGTTCAAGGCCAGCCTGGTCTACATAGTGAGTTCCAGGACAGCTCCTGCCTAACAAAACTGGTGAGGGGGAGCCTAGACTTCTCAGGGACCAGCATCCTGCCAGAGAAAATTTAAGAGATGTCTCCCTTGCTGGGCGTGGTGGCACACACCTTTAATACCAACACTCAGGAGGCAGAGGCTGGCGGATCTCTATGAGTTGAGTTCAAGGCCAGCCTGGTCTACATAGTGAGTTCCAGGACAGCTGGGGCTACAGGGAGA